CAGGTATGAAAACTGGGGAAAAAATTAACATGTGTGTGTGCATATGCATATACCTGTGTGTGAATATATATTTATACATGCACAACTACATATGTACACCCCCCCAACTAATTTAATGTGACTGTGCTTCTTTTAACTTCAACAGTAAATGTGACATTTTTGGCATTATGATTACTTCAGAAATGTACTGAGCTTTGACTCCAGTTCAACAAAAGATTTACCTGCAATATAGGTAGGAAAAGAACATATTTAAAAAATATATTTCTAATGATAGACCTGGCATCCTATAATTGCTACTAAGCATTTGCCTTTGCCCTAATCAGATCCAAAGGTTAACTGATGGATTGCAGAAGAAAGTCTAAATGTTGGGAATTACTACTGAGTGCTGCTGAACTCATGAAAATGATGGTTTTAGCAAAAAGCCCTTGCATCAGGGGTGATTTGAGCAGTTACAACATAAAAAAGACTACTGGTGATAAACACATACACATTGCTCTTCTACATTACTAACATGAACCACATGTTCATATCTTCTAGCAGTTCACAGGACAAAGGATAATTTCCATGTTTTGTTATAACTTCTGAGTGCTGCTATAAGACCATGAAGACAGCCATTTAAATCTGAGAAAAATATCCATTTACTGCATTCTTGAGTATTGCTAAATATGCCATTACTCAGTCAAGCATGTTTCAACCTTGAGCAATCTAGAGTTGACATTTGTTCCCTTAGGTGGCTGCGCTGCATTTATATGCTTTTATTTTCCCCAATTTAAGGTATGTTCATACTGATTGCAGCATTCAAGGACTTTCAAGCTATTTAACTTGGCAACACAGAGTATGTTAATATGGGTGTATAATTCATTTATCCCACTGACACTGCAGTGTAGACATATAGCATGAACTTGAACAGGTGACCTGCCTTCCTTAAGTCTCAGTTCCCTTCTCTGGAAAGCAATGACAATGCTTACTGGTCCCAGATGCTGCATAATTATATATTTTAAAGTTTAGCGGTGTCTAAAGGGAACTAGTTGTGGATGGATGAAGAAATTTTTTTTCACTTCTCCATTTAGCTACTTACAATGATTATTTGTGGAAACAATGTATCAGTAAAATGTTAACTAGTCACAGAGGACACCAAAAGAACACCTGTCTAGCACTACTGAGAAAAGGAATCACTATTTCAGATTAAAACATTCTTTTTGACAGAAAACTATTCTCTCAGTCACTTTCACAGGGCAGACGGTGAGAAATGAACACTCAAAAAAACTTAATCTAAAGCCTTCCCTATTCTTACACACATTTCATTCATGTCTCCTTTCAGTGCCAAGGCCCGAAACATATCCCAAATATTCCAAGTGCTCCTGAGCCGTCCTCCTCTAGGACCTCTTCCAACAGACTGAATCAGTCTGCATGAATGTTGTGAATTCAGTTTTGAGTTCAGATCTATCTTATCATATTATCATAAACTAGGTGACAAAGCTTTTGCCATCTTTGATCAAGTACATTTTTATGCACTCAACAGGTTTGGGTATGTCCTAGGACTTCTGACATTCTGAGTATAATCTTTACATAGCATAAAACATTTTAGACAACAGCCTACAGCAGGAGAACATTAAGTGGAAGAAATACAGAAATAAATGTTTTTGCTAATAGTCACAGATAAATGCTTTACCATCTATTGAAAAATTATGCATCTTTTAATTATTTTTATCTAAGCATTGTACTTCAACTAAATGAGACATACCGTTAAACAATGCTTATTGAAAAATAGTATCCCAACTATGTCAGAATGTAATCAGTGTTTTTCAATTTAATTTCTATCAATAACCCTTTGATGAAAAAAAGTAACACAAACTTACCAATGTCTGCCTATTGACATGAAACTTTTAGGGCAAGATTTTAAAAAGAAATTGTCTTTCAAATTCTTTTCAGATATTTGATAATGAAGAAACACTACTCAGGGACATCAAACAGTGAGAAAGCTAAACAATTTTTGGGCTGGAGTTCATAGCTTTAGAAAATACAGAATTTTGTTTAGATTTTGGATTTTAGGCACTCCAATTCACTCCAGTCATTTCCGAATACTGGAGTGTTATTTTGAGTTTAAAATTTCCATAAATGATGAAAATTTCTGACCTGCCTGTATAAATGCAGACTTATGTAAACACATACCATATTTTGATAAATTAACTTTGTAGCCTCAAGACTTCAGCAGCTTGAACTCTGTTGAGTATGTCAACAATACAAAACAAATGTTGACTGTTTTGAAGATTGTCACGACATTATACCAAGGGAGCCTAATTACTGATTATAAGTGGAACACCTGTTTGTTTTCCTCTGTTTCGTTGCTTATGTTTATCCAGCCTGTTTCTGAGAGCTAATGTGTTTGTGAAAGCCAAAAGGCATCCCTAGAAGAGAATATCAATAGTTCCAACTGAAGCCTAGTTGAAGATTTGTTTCTAATTCTTTAAAATTATATTTATATTGAAAGCCCTCTAATTCTTTTTTCTCTAAAAAGTCAGGAGGAATCAAAGAGATTCTGTGTGTTTCTGCAAAACAGTGGTTCCCAGCCACCTGGACAGATCTCGTGTTGGTCTAAGAATATCACCATGAAGGGATAATAAGCTTAGCTAAGCCTGTAGCAGCTTTGTGACATGCATCAATGACAGGTTTTTTGGGGTGGATGGGTGATATGTGGAACACTGACAATTTCCTTAAGTGAGTTTCTGCTACAAGATGATTGGGAATGATAGGTTTAGTCAAGGAATTAGAGATGCCTCATTAGACTCCAAGTTACTTAACACAAGTATGCACATGAAACATTACAAAAAAGGAGGTGATTTTCATACACTGGAATGAACAGATCAATACATGGCTGCAAAGTATGTCCAATTTTGTAAAAAACAGGTATCAAGAAATATTTAGCTGTAGCATTCTTAGCAAAGTAATTGTCTCTAGAACAGGAGACACTGAAGTTCTTAATTGCTTAATTGCACAGGGAATCTACATGAATATATTTTCAAGCTAACAGGATCTTTTCATTTCCAGAAATGAATGCCTTAATGAAGTATTGCTTTTATGTCTAGGTCAATTGAAAAATTAAGTAGGAAAGGTGAAGGCCTTCATATCCAATTAGCAACTACATATCTATTATCTTATTGGAGATTACATAAAATAAAAGACCTAATTTTCTGCTTATTGCTCTGTAACGCCTTTGTAAACAAAATTTCTTAGGTTTCATTATCTTTCCATTTGAAGCAAAGTAAAAAAGTAGAGAAACAGAAGTTAGTTGTAATTACACAGGTCTGAAGATCACATAGGAGGCTTTGTTCCAGCCCTTTAGCACAAATTAAACTGCTATTCCAGTTCTGACAAACCACTGCTTTGAGCTATGTACTCTGTGTTGACAGAGGAAAGAAGAAAGATACTCAAAGGAGACTGCACCTTGGAATGTGCCTAGTAGAGAGGCAGGCTGTCAGTGGAGAGAAATTCTACAGTGGATCTTGAAAACTTCTTTGTGACCGTGGGAAAACTTCTTAGCCGTCTTTAAAACGGTTACTTGACATTACTAGTTAAATCACTTAAATTTTTTGATTACATGTACTTTCTAAGCCAGTATTCTCTAAAAATTAGTTGACTATTATTGAAAGTAAAGTAATATTGTTCAGTGAAATGTAAAGTTACAAAAAAAAATAACACCCTCCCCCCCCCAAAAAAAAAAAACCAAAAAAGAAGGAAAAATAACTGTTAAATAAAACTCTAACTCTTCCTGCTGGCTCTTTTAATTTCCATTAGTCAACTTGATCATCAGATGAAACTGGGTGGTGTAAACCGACTATATCTGGCCATAAGATGGTGCTAGTGCTACTGCACTGGCAATAAAAATGGCACTGGTAAAGTGACCAAGTGTCAAACACAAACGTGCTACTGGGAAACAGTTTCCTTTTCTCATTACTTTTATGAATGGCATTTGCTGAGGTCCAGTAACAAGAACACATCAGTTCTTGCCCAAGTCTCTGTAACTGCAGAACGTCTGGTAGAAAGAGAGCTAAGAGTGGGAAAAGAAAGTGAAAGAAGATGATTCCGGCCTAATACATCTCATTCACACTTGAGACGCCATGTAAACAAAGACCGAGAGAGATCTAATTTAGAACAGACTGATTCTGTTTTCCCATTCTAATTTACTATAAGTGGTTACAGAAATTCATGAAACAGAAATAATTGCAGTGGTAGACAGAGATCCTCCTAGTTGTGGCAGACAGAATCCTCCTAGTTGAAGTGGAGAAGTCCTAAAGCACACTCTAGTTGTTCGAAGTGATACTTTCTCCAGTCACTAACAGAAATTAAAGATGCAATTGAACAGTCCTGAATTTTCCCTCTATGTTGCAATCATACAAAGTAGTCAGTACATTAACACTTGTGTATACATAAATACCTGCACACACAGAATACATGTATACATGGTGTGTTTTCAGCATCTCCTTAAACATTCCACATGAGAACACAAGCGTATGAAGATCCTTGCAACTCTTCTGCTGGGAGAATTATCAAAACTAGCCAAAGCCTAGTGAACTCAAGGCATCTTTCACCTAGGTTTGAAGTTTCTTTTTCGAAGTATAACCACAATATTTTTTCCCAAGCATCTGAATGCTGGAAAAGTATATCCTTCGCTTAAAAATTAATTTCATTATTCTACATTATGAAACTTACAGTTAAAAATCAGCAGGAGACAAAGAATTTATTTGCATTTAATTGCAGTGGAATTTGGCAAAAATACAAACAGTGTAAGACAGTCTGTCAGTAACCATAATTACAGGGGTCACAAAAAGTTTTAAAATTTAAGCTACTATGCCTCTTTTTTTCAGTGAACAAGTCTATTCAGCTTTTCTCACAGGTGTATTTCAACTTCACAGTGTTTTCCAACACATCTTTCCCTCCTGAAAACTCACGTGCAACTCATTTTGTTAAATGTATTTCACTTCAGCTTTGTGAACTCCTACCTGCACAGGACGACCATCTTCTTGGCCAATCATGTTCCTCCAGTCCTGCAGTGACCGCTGGAGGCTTTCCAGCCCAGTCTCCCACAGCCTCACACCTCCTCCCATGTCCACAGTAACCAAACCTACTTTGCCCAGTGGTGCCAAAAGGGCATCGGCATCCGAGATCTTAGAGAGCCATGATGTATATGGAGAGAGAGACTGTGATCTGAAAAACAAGAATTAATATGATTTTTCCTGAAGTTTCAATTAAAAGGGGAATGAGTATTTATGTAGTTAAGATGACAATTAAATGAAATTCCATCCTCATTTCATGAGAGACTACAACTAAGCCCTACAGACCCACTGTTTTATCTGAAACATTCCACCTACTGAAACTGGATATAACCAAAAGATACTTGACAGTGTAAGAAGCAGTTTAAAAGACCAGGTTGAAAGGGAATATGTTGCCTAACCCACTGCTGTATCGAATCTCTCTGAAAATAATCAGTCTTCAGAAAAAAAACCTATAAAAACTGTAAAAAGATGTTATAGAAAAACTACAAATGCATATAGAACTACAAAAGAAATAGGAGAAGACATGACCTGGCACTGAGGAAAATGCATTTCCATCAAATTAGAGTAATCCCTTTCTCTAGTGATTTAATATAAAATGAGGATTTAAACACTTATTTAACGATAGTACAGCTTTATGCACAGAGAATCTTAGCACCGTTTTAAACAGTGACCTTGCTGACAAAAGTTTGCTGCTGAAACAGAGGACCCCATAGGTACACAATCTGAAGGGAAATTCAGGTAATGTAGGAAAGACTCTATTTTTCAGTACTGTTAGTGATAGGCATAATGAGTCGGCAACCTACACTAACACTACAATTAATAATTTTCAAAAATATAAAAAGGAGCAACACATATGCCTCTACTTATGGCTGAAATTGTCATGTGCTGACTGAACTGAAAAAAGTTATCTTTGCATTTGACCAGGTTAACTACACCAGAAGGAGAAAAGGCTGTTATATTTTAACACAGAATTATTCATATATATATATGAAAACTCACTTTACTTATCAGTTCCTCCTGGAATATATTTTTAAACTTGGACTTCTGCTCAGATCTGCCATATATAGCTTAAATCCTAATGCTAGATTAATGGTCATGATGTTGAAATATGGCTTTGTAAATTCTGTAATGTCTTATAAAATCCTGGCGTAAAATAATGTGTTTCCCTACTATTTTTATATTAAGGTCTTATATTTTTGAATAACTGTCTCAGATGTAAGCCAATGGGCCAATTATAAAATGGTGAACAGTCCAAAAATAAGGATCTATTATTTAAAATGTTCCCCAGATTATTAATGAACCAGAATTACTTTAAATCAGAATCAATATTATCAAAAATCATCATCAAATGGATAGATTAAAAAAAAAGTATAAAATTCCTGACGTGTGAGTTTAATACACGGGCCATTTAAATATGCAAAGCTGAGAGATTGCCATTTTAAAAAAAAATCCCTTTATTATTATTGCAATGGAAAATGACAATTTGTAACCAAAATATATCTTTATATTATAAAACATTTGCAAATACTCTCTATAGTTGTGAGAGACAGATGTTAAAACCAAACAGAAGACACACAGTCTGGTTATTTTGATTTATCATACAAGATATTTGTGTATCACACAAGATACTTGTGAGGGAAAGTATACTTTCCAAATGGAGAACCAAAATGTAGAGAAGCTCAAGTTATTTTCAAAGTGAACTTTATATTGGACCTGAACTTGATTCCTAGTTTCCTAACACCCACCACCAGATCATTCTGCCTGTCTTTGTCAGATCCTAAAGGTAGGGAAAAAGGAAAAGAAAATAAAGGTAGCAAACCAGAATGTAACAGGGTAGATGGATGGAAGAGGAGGAAGGAGCAAAGGGGATGAAAATCAGAATATAAAGGTACTTTTCATATTTACTAATTAATCGCTACATTTTCATTGGTATCATCTAGTAAACAGATAAATTATGTTGACAACAAAATACTTCAGTGTTTGCAGAATTTTACACAAGGTATGAATTAGTCTTACTTTCCACATCAGAAGAAATACTTGCTTATCCTGATGTAATAATGGACACTAAATTCTCTTTGCTTTTCCTCTAAGACAGAGGTTGCTCTAATCAATAAAATCAGTTACCTAGGAATTGCAATGTATTTGATTTTCTTTGAGTTAAGATCTGTTACTTCCAAGTATCCAGCAGCTTGTGGAGGAGTGACATCTGAAAAAAAACAAACGTTATTTTCCTGCTGTATGATTAACTGGTTATTGCATTTGCATTAAATTTAAACATTTCATTATACAGTACCTGTCAAAAAATGACAAGCTTTCACATTCAATACAGGAATATAACTTGCAAATAGGGAATTGTTTTATTATTATGATAGTGAGTAAACAGTCACAGTTAACAAATAACAATGTATTTGTATAGCAAATGTCAAAATTACACACAGATATAACCGCTCACAAAAGCACTAATCACGCATTACCACAATCCCTAACTCACTGTTTTTATCTGCCACTGAAGATAATGTCAGTTTTATATCTGACTTTAAAAGCATATTGAGGAACATTTCAAAACATTGTGTTCACGATTTCCACTTTAAAATTTCTCAGTAATATTAACCTAAACGCTGTTCTCTTAAATCGAACCACTCCTTCTGGAGGTAGGTTTTCAGTATCCAGAGATTTTATAACTTTATAGTAAACAGCCCTAGACTATCAAGCATTTAATATTCTGTTTATGGACAGTTTAATGAATACAGCTAATATATGGTACTTCCCTCAGAAATAAATTTTTGTGTGTGTGCCTACATTGGCTTTTGCCAACACTTTGCCCGGGCTCAGAAGTGGCTTCCAGTTAGGAGCTGCCTGGAGTAAATCAAGGCAGTTTTTCAGAAAATAAACCAGAAGACAGAATTACAGCACAGTATTGGTACAAAATGTCATTGTCACAAGATGAAAGCAAGTCTAGATTTCCTTCAGAAACAATGTATCTTTAACCTCCTTGAAACCAAGGAGAGAGTGGCTGCAGAAGTGTTGAGCTTGCCTACAGCACACAGAGAAAAGACCAGTAAGATCAGCAGTATAAGGGGATCTAATATCCAATGATTATATAGAGTAACCCACAACACTACTTTATGCATATCTACTGTATCTAGATATCTATAGTATACATACCTACAGTAGCACATCTGTTGACTTTATTCATCTTCATAAAAATGGAAATATCAAACACATCAAAAATAGGAAGAAAAAGCCTAGAAAAACTTTTTCCCTAGATTTTGTTACTCTTCTAAAATGTGCTTTCTCTTTTGTTAGTAACTGAGAATAATATACATATATATAATATACAGAAAAAAAATTCTGATGAAGATCTAGAACAAGGGCTGATACTGAATTGGAAAGGGTAGCACTGTGGGATAAATGCTAAGGGATAAAAATTAAGTTAATAAATTAGAGAAAGAACACAAATCAAACAAATTAAATTACAAAAAGACAAAGCATTACAGAGTAGGGAGCAATCAAATGTTTAAATGCTACACAGGAACAGCTGAGTAGGCCCTAAAACTGCAGTCAAGAATTTTACGATGAAGCACGAACATCGGAGCTGAACGAGTACAGTTCCTCTTTTGCCAAAGCCTGATGGAGAAGAATAGCTATGCACAACTCTAGACATCAAATTTTAAGGAAAACAGACACGATGTTCAGTCAAGGGCTACTCAGTACAAGGGAGACATGGAGGTCCTTGAGCAAGTCCAGTGGAGGTCTATGAAGATGATTACAGGACTGGAGCACCTCTCTTACGAGGAAAAGCTGAGGAAGAACTTCTTTACTGTGAGGGTGACTGAGAACTGGAACTGAATGGCCAGAGAGGTTTTGGAGTCTCCTTCCCTGGGAAAGAACTGTCCTGACACAATCCTAAGTAACGTACTCTAGAGGACCCTGCTTGATCAGGGAGGTTGGACTAGATGACCTCCAGCGGTCCCTGATAATCTTATCCATTCTGTGATTCTGTGACATGAGATAGTCCTGGGGATGACAAAGAGGTTAGAACAGATGGGTTATAAGGACAAATTTAAGGAATGTTTTTTGTCTGACTAGAGACTTTTTAAAAAAGCACATCCAATCTATCGAGAAGACTCTTACAAAGAGCAGTATCATCCTGAATGAGTGAAAGTGACATCAAGTATTCAGTTTTGTTTAGAGAAAAAAAAGATGGATACTCTGAAAAGATTTTGTATACAAGGAGAGTGAAGCATTGCAATAGGTCAGTTGTTTGACAAACATCAGTTAAAAAGAGACTACAGGTGTCATCCTGTCCCTATATAAACAGGTGGACCAGACGATGTATCAAGGTTATTCCAGTAACATTTTGTGTGACACTACATGTTGTTCCAGTTAGTGTCACACTAACAGAGACAGGTACTCAGTAATAGAATGTTATTTTATGTTCATCTATAGAAAGTGCTAGGAATCCAGGTAAATATTTGCTCTCAAGTAGCCCTCATCTCTATGGCCTTGTTTTTAGAATAAACAGTAATTATTATTTGCTGGATTCTGCCATGATCTCTTGTCTGAGTTTATATTTCAGGTCCATACATCTATTTGGCACTCTTTGGGGAAATTATTACTTGTTATAGCTTCTTTTAAAACTATCATTCTGGTTTACAGTTTCAATAAAACACATAAGTAATTATTTCTTTGCTTATTGTTCCTGGAACAGTTTTAGTAATACATATTGGAGCATGTTAGAGTTTGGCTGAGTACTTCAAATTATTAATAGAAATGGAAGGCTGTGTGCCAGAACTGACCAGCTGTCCAAGAAGATGAGAATGAAATCCTGATAGATATGGAAACAAAAGCAAAAATATAAAACAACTTCTCAAAGGCAACAGAAGACAACAGTGCAAGAATTTCAAGGGACTGAGACATACTTGATTTTATGTAGAAGGGTGCCTTTCCTTCACTATACCATTTCCCAGAGAAGGATACAAAGACTTATGAATGAAGTCTCATAGAACTTTCCTAGTTAATTAACTACAGGTTTTCTAATGCAGAAACAACAGCACCGATAATTCACCAATTGTCCAAAAGCCCCCATGAGTTATGCAGCACAATCAGGAATAAGCAACGCTGAATTTTAAGGGACCAAGACTGTTAAGCAGCTATGGGTAGCAGTTAAATGAGTATTCGATTAAATATCCTGTCAGTTAGTGAGACTGAGAGGCAAACTCCAGAAGAAACAATAGCCCAGCAGAGAAGGTTGTAAACACAGAATCTCAAATGACCACTGTAAGGGCTAGTACTTTATTATCTCACCTTCCAAGTGAGCACATAAATGCATGCCTCTTTTCTTCTGTTTTCCCCTTCTTACACTTGGAAATATTTATGACTCATGCCACGACAATGGCAGTACGAGGTCCCTCTAATCTAGTATTTTGTCTCCAAGAGATGCTTGGAAAGTGTAAGAACAGACAAGTGCACATGGTATTTTCCTCAGTCACCAACCAGTTTCAATCTAGGGGCTTCTTTAGCTGAATGTGGTGTCTATGTTTTTACATCTACATATTTAGTAACTTCCCAGGAGTTTGTCCAGATTTCCTTTAAATCCATGTTTCAGCAGTCACAACATCCTTTGGGAAGTGATTTCACAGGCTGGTTCCTTACTCTATGAAAAACCATGTCTTGTTTGTTTTGACAAAGTTCCTACTAGCTTTATTAGCTGCTTCCTAACTGTGGTACTGAGTGCAAAATTGTTGCTTTTCCCAGATCTCCATGCCACACATTTTTATAGAACTCTACCATCTGCCCCTTTCCTGATCTTGTCTCCACATGCTGGAGGGTTGGCCGATCTAAACTTGCTCCTCCTTGTTGTCTTTTTCTGAACTTACTCCAGTTCAGCCTTCTCTCACCTTGAGATGGAAGAACAAAACTAAACCGTGTTAAGGACACATGGATTTGCACAACAGCACAAAGAGGTTCTTTGTTTTTTTTTGTTCCTTCCCTAGTAATTCTTAACATTTGATTTGCCTTTTTTAACTGCTATTGAGCTTTGAACTGCTATCTTAATTAAACCATTTATCATGACAGCAAAATAATGCTTGTAAAATGTTCTGATAAGCCCCATCTTCTTTGATATAGAATTAGGATTCTTTCTTCCCTCATGTATATTATATCTATACTGAATTTCATCTGCTATTTCTATTGCAGTGGGAATTGTAGTCCTTCTATAATCCTTCATGGTGAATCCTTCCTGACATGAATAATAACCAGTAACATCAGCACCATCACTTCAGTGTTAATTCATTTTTCTGTTTTTTTCATGACATGCTTAGTAGTACAGGCCTCTCTAGGATTTCCCTCATAGCTCCTCCTTCACTAGAAAAACTGGTCATTAACTGATAAATGGAAATGTCCTGAAAAAGTCCCGAATAATGGCTATGGAATAGAAAACCTACAGTCTTGCTCAAGTCCCATTTAATTGTATCACTAAGGTCATATTAAACATGATTCAGTTAAGATCAATTTTTGTAATTAATAAATTAAAACATCATTTAGAAAAGAAAAGAAAAATTAGAAAAGAAAATTCAATGATAATGATCTTCAAGGCCTGAAATTTTCCAACTTAAATGGCCATAAAGCACTGTACAAACCTCATAAAATTTTCTACGCATTTAAAGCTATCAATCACTGTTCATGAATATATTTCATCATAGTTGAGGAAAAAAAAATTAAACTGTTTGGTCAGATGGAAGTCAATTTTCAGACTGATAAAATGCTCAGGTCACTGTTATCTGGGATTCACAAAGAATGTCCCCTGTTTTTTAACTATAGTAATCTAGCACGTTAAAATATCACATACCACAGCAATTAAAAAGGCTTTTAGAAATACCTGTCAATTTTAGCTATCATTTGGAAATACTGTATCCCTCTCTCACTCCCAAATTAATAAATTAATTTTAACAAAACCTCAGAAGATTTATTGTCTGAATTTTTAAACCATCCACTTTAGAGTCAGATCCTCTTTTTTTCTGTGAAGCCTGAAAAAAAGTGACCCAGTCTGACCCTTCAGTAGTTTATAAAGTATGAGAAGATTACAGCCTGAAGTGGTATAATTGGTTCCAAGATGCAAACATTAACTAATTTTGTTAAGTTTAATCTTTTTAAAAGGTAATCTTTCCTTTGTAAATGTAGGTAACTTAAGTTTTCTACCTTGTTGATATCCTTGACTTGGCTCTTAGTAATAAATAAAAGGATTTCTCTACACAGGGAAGTTAATCTCTGTTAAATGAGGGCAGGCATATTAGATAATTCATTCTGTTCAAGGGAGTTAATTTGGAATAAAGTGTTTATTCTGGGACAGAGAGTTCGCACACAGAATAAATCACAAATAGCTTCTCATGCTGATGAATTCAAAAAAACCTGCCATTCTACCATATACAAATACTTTGGGGGTTTTCTCTTTTGATAGTAAACTTTCTTTGGAGATTCCTAGAGGTAACTAATGCAGAACTCACAAATGCTCTTATATAGCAATAACGGGGATATTTTTAGTTACTTGCTGAAGAAGCTAAAGTTACAGTAATAACAGAAAGCTTGGCATGGCAGCACAAAAAGGTCTGAAGATCTCTAGTCTACACCTGCTTTATTAGTGTATAAATGGAGGACAGTTTTGCTGTATGTGAATGCTGCTCACGCAACATTCTCCTGGACAAGAGAAGAACTACAAAGCTTGGATCTCTTCAGTTTGGAGAGAAGGCAGATGTGAGTGAAGTTGGCACAGTCATGAAGGTGATGGTTACGGTGAATGCCGAACTGTTACTCACCCAAACCTGCAATACTAGAATAAGTGGCACTTGATAAACCTAGTAGGAGATCAGTTTTCACAGAAAATCGTGAACTTGTGAGTTTGCTATAGAGACAAACAAGCTCAAAGAGGGAGCAGACAAACTTGTGGACAACAGGTCCATAAAAGGAGATTTAAAGCCTGAGGTTTTAACTTCCCTAAGAAAACAATTGCAACTATTGAGAAACTATGAAAGGAAAGACAAAGAAGTGGATAGGCTCACATGCATTCCCAAAATAACCTCTCCTATAGTTCTGCTGGGGATAGAATACTGAGTTAGTCAGACAACAGGTTTATCTATGCATCTCTGCGTGACACTGAGCAGAACTTGGAAATACTGGTGAAGGCTGATTGCTGAACTAGAATGATCATATTCTTATAGTGGGTTTCCAGAGCAGACAGAGGAAGATCCCATCTACCGGGATATTCATAGTGTAGACAGACTGTTAGTTCCCAGAAGCATAATACAGCATGTTAATATGATTCAAAATAATTTTAAAAATAAGTGCAACTACTCTCATCCTTCTCAAACATTTGCTCTGTGATTAAGGTTTTGGAAAAATTAATGAGTGATTGCAGTTTGCAAAACAAAAAACAAGTGTGTTGCAGCACAAGTACATGAACCTCTTACCTTTTGGGTAAATGTCTTTCAAAGGCACGTCTCCAGGTGCTAAAATTCTGACTATCTGATTAGAAGCCAATAAAGTTACACAATTGGTTTGTTTTGCAGCTCCTGTTTTCCTCTGGGTTCCGTAATAAAATGGATCAGAAGGAGAAGCACATTTTTGACTCAGAGAGGAGTTTCTTTTCCAGCTATACACTTCACTGGGAGACTGCAAGAGAGAAGGAGTCTAGTGAAGAAAATGTTACCATTATTGAGCCTAGCAACAAACATTTCTTGATAAATTCCATTCTTTATTTAATTTCAAATCAAATGTGGCTACTGTGGTTACTTATGTTACCACATGACAAGGAAGAGACCTGCATTATTTTGTTATCAAAAACTCCTATAGGAATGAAAACCAACAAATCATATACATGAGTTTGAGGCATTAAGAATTTCTGAAGATCTGAAGTTGAACCTTTTTTTCTTATTGAACCAGGAACAGAAAGCATTGAAATAACCTAATCTGGAATCAAACTATGTAACAAACTGTTACCATAATCTAAGTTTCCACTAATGTAGATAAATGCAAACAGATATTTCAGTAGTAAATTCAAAGCAAGGCAATAAAGCTCCAGGTTCAGAAATGTAAATATAGTTGTTTACGTGAAAGTCAGTTCCTTCATCTCCCACCATCTCCCACTATGGTTAAAAGAGCCTAGAGAAATAAATCATCTTGAAGGTCTAAGTGTTTAGTAAGCTGAGCACTGCTACTACAAATAAGAGCTCAGATACCTTACTCATGCTAAACACCTACACCATTAACACTAAACACTGAATTCGAAGTTTTGCCCCATCACCCTTACATTTACTCTTAGCACTCCCCCTTTGACACTCACATGGACATCTAAAACCATGTATGAGGAAAGATGGGGCCTCAGTCTAAATCTGGCAGAGCAAGATGCTTCATGATCAGTATTGGTGTGTTAGTATTGAAGAGTGTAGCACCTTTAGTACTCCCTCCTCTAAACCATCTCCCTTTTCCAGCAATAAACTCACATCTATTGTAAATAACATGAATAGCTAGAATAATCAATCTAGTCATATAAATCTAGATCAAGGGAAACTCAAAAGCTAGTTGCAAATACAGGGAATGCCTTATTGACAAAAACATATTTTTGAATCCTTTGGGATTTCAAATTTTCTTTTGTCATTTGGCTTTCCCAAAATTCATGTATGTTAACACTTACATTTTCTAATTTGCCCCAATTTATTAAGCAAACATGACTTACAATTATTTATTCCATAAGAACTACTTTTTTTACATATCATTAGGTGGCAATTAGGAAAAAAAGTTCAAAGAGTTAAACATACTGCTTTTATTTTACTTGTGTTTACCTCCACTCCTTGCAACAACCCTAGTCATTACACTGCCAAGTTTCACTTTCCTTTCTGGTCCTTTTCTAATTGTGTCACAGCAGCGACCACACCTACATGCAGCATTTACACTGAACTACATTACTGAATACTGAAGGGGCTGTATGGTTTTGCTACCATTTTCTATATCTTTTTTTCTTTTTCTTAAATCTAGTCTTTACCTGCTGCACACTGAGCAAAAAGTTCACACTGAATAGTTCAAAATTATACTGATATCCTTTCTCGCAGTTGTTATGTTTCATTAAAAAAATGTAAAAACACATGATTTAGAAAATATTCCTCTAGCCAGCACTGTTCAGACCTCACCACCAACAAATTTTGTCTATGCTAGACATTATGTTGTCCAATTTCTTATTATTTAAAACTCCACTGAAATCCCTCTAGATTAGACTACCCTAACAAATGGTGTACACTACATGAATTTGTCATTCCCTTCTTTTTCCATATCATTTGGTAAACAGGTACTTAACTGGTTAAAGAATAAGCAAGATCATATTACTTCACTTAATAATAATGCCGAGTATTTACCAAGAGGTCTGGGAAACCAATAACAATAGTAGCATAATTCTGCTCATCCGAGAAGATCCTGTTGGGGGAGCTGATCTTTTGTCCCACAGCTGCACTGAGGTTTTCTGAAGATAGCTGGTCACTTGAAACTGCATGTGGCACACACAGTTCTGACGCTAAACAGGGAAATTAAACAAAATGAAAGTCATTAAATCCAGATGTGCAACAGGAAACAATATTAACTGTAAGAGTGCTGAGCACTGAACATTGCTATTACTTTGAGCATAAAATTACTAAAAAGCAGAAGATCTGATTATACTGTACTATACCACACAAAAGAAGCCAGGAAATAATCTTAGTTTTGTAAAGTTAAGTACTCAAAATCACTAATTACTAGCTTCGTAGATGCTTATACCACTTAATTTTGCCCTCTACTGTGCAAATGAGGCAGGAAGCCTACGGAATAAAACAGTATGTGATCTCACTGAAAATTTTTAGAATGCAAATGTACCAAAAGGCAAACCTACCAATGTAGGTTTGCACCGATAAGTGTCAATGTGACATTTCTCAGTGACTGTCTTGCTATCTTTGAAATTTTAATAATATTTGTAATGCATTTCTGTTAAATAATGGTCTAGTTTTCTTCATCTTTAAGCTAAGGAAAACTAAATTTTATTCTGTTCAACTGTAAGAGCCTTTTACCTTGCCTCACGTTATCAACACAGAATGTGCTATCTTTAGTGCTGCAGCTTACACTGTTTCCACGTCAATGGGCAGACTATCTCGTTCATCTGGCAGTGGGAGAAAGTCTTTTCTCCCTCGAAGGATAAATGGGCTACTGGTTTGGGTCTGCAGCACTATCATTTGTTGGTTCTCCTGTCACAGGTTCTGTCTCAAAGAACAACAGGCTGAAGATGCTACATTCAGGGTTTGCTGAATGTTTTGGAAAAAAGTGGAGAGGGGATGTGATAACTTTTTGGATTGGAAGAGAAGAAATCAGATAACAAAGGATTAAAATAGCACAGAAAGCATGCAGTAAAAAACTGTCCACAAATACTTTGAGACTGGAAATTATAACGATGTTTCTATCCATCTGAGGAATGATACTCTAGAATGTTTTCTAAATAAGGTAGGTAGAGGAAGGAAACTACTGTGCTCTGATGGCGCTTGATAAGTTTGTAGAGTAAACTTACAAGAGATAAAATGGATTCTAGATATTTAGGCTGTGGTTAGTTTTTGGTATCCACTTTGTTGCTGTTTATGTAAAATTAGCCCTATTTGTTATTTGTCAATAACATTTGCTTGTATCACGTTTACACTGTGTTAATCTCATTTTTCATACTTATGATAGCCACAAGAATAGAACAAAACCTTTTCCCTCTTCAACAGACATAAAGTGGTTTCTCTGTTTGTTTCCTCTGCCTCTCTGAGACACAGTGGCAAAACCTATAAACTGTTAGGTGGGATGCACATGTACCAAGTACACCAGAGATTTTGTGCACCATGATCAAATACTCAGGGTTGAAAATGCTATCAGATCTGAAGATAGACAGATCTTACCCGTCTGAATTACGAACATTGGAGATTTCTGCCTTATTCTGTAATTAAGACATGTCTCAATGCCTAGCATCATCTGGGAATTTTAATGATCAAATTCCCCCTATCTTTCAACACAGGTGTGATGGCCTCAATGGCCCCCTGCACACTATCAACAGAACTACAGAAACTGTGACTTCTGTTCTGTTTTAACAGTAGGTCTTTTGTATTTTTCTGAGGCTGGGAGATGTTTGTTGGCTCATCTGACTGTGTGCAGCAGATCTGCAACAGAGTACAACCTGATTTGTTCCCTTGTACTCCTGTTCTAATTGCTGTCTAGTCATCTTTCTTCCTTTTCCATTCTATATGCTTGTCTGTTTCCTGAAAGTCCATGACTGAGGGTCTTAAATGCTTAAATGAAACAAAGATGCTTTGGGCATGGGATGCGCCATGCCTTGTGAAAAGTTATTATTAAGCAAACATGATAAGGGGAGGACAAAAAGAGAACTGGAGAGAAGTTTAATTACTCAGACCTTTAAAAAGCCTTGTTTGTGCAGCTGCAAACAGAAATGATAAAAAAAAAAAAAGAAGGAACTAGTCAAGCTTGCATTCAATACCTGTTGTTAGGCCAAATCCCATTTCAGCTGGCTCTTCACTCAATGCATACAGCTGGCAAACCTCACTGTCTTGAGCTTCCATATGGGCACGCTTGGTTAAAAGAAATTTCCTGTAAAGGATACACATTTATAATAATTACTGATTAAGCCTGTAACTCTAAACAAGGACTTTTATCTTCCGAAACAGTGAAAACATTCTGCATTTATATAAACAAGGTTATCAACACCTTTTGCTAAAACTAAATACAATTTACCAGCATCTGTGAGATAGGAAAGGGTAAGCCAGCAATTGGCAGATTTGTCTTCTGGCAACTATTTACACATTTTCATTTGCTGTTGATTTATAAAAACAAGATAGTGCAGTAACATTTCTTCCATGTGATCATGAAAGTAAAGGAAGTAGGTGCCAACTCTGGACAATGTGTCTGTATTTCCAAGACTAGGTCCATGAACATTGTTATTTCTGAAGTTCAATACCACCTCAGTAAAATCAGTATGAATATGCATACAATCAAAGCTAGTCTAGACTTTCAGAGGCAGGCATATCCTGTTCATTTCCTACTCTATAAGCCTACCTGCACTTTCACCACAAGTAAATCTGCATTTTAAACACCAAATTTTAAGTCCAGTCAGTCTGAAAAAACAACTCCGCGACCAGGAGTGAAACTCCTGAACATAAACAAGACACAAACCAGAAATAATGCCACTAAGAAAACCAGGTTGAACTAACTTATTTGTTTCATTTTCCACCAAGAGCCAGCGGTCTTCAGCTGCCAGGAAAACAGATTTCAGACTGATCGGAAGGGAGATGGTATGAGTTTGACCCTCCAATACATCCAGCACAATAAGGTGGTTTCTGTAAAATTGGAAGCCAAGAGAAGGATAATCAGATAGGGATATACACAAGGAAATCTGTTATAGATCAATATAATACAAGGATATAATTTATTCTTACCCTGCTTCTTTGTAGAACACCAGCCAGTTTTTGTGTGAAAACTCTCGGCACATTTTGTAGTTGCTCTGTATAAAAATATGTCATAGAGCAATTAGTGTTTGTTAGATCGTCCCAGTGAGTTTCCCTGACTCCCCTGAAAGTGCATTATTTTTTTTGCTTTATTTAGAAGAATCCATGGCATTAATTACCTATCAAAATGCTATCTAGCCTGCCTTGTTCCTAGTCATATAATTGCATAATAACTGAGTTCATTATTTTGGACAGAATTCCTTGTAACAGAATGTTCCATTATTTCCAGTTCTAGCTCCAAAGAGGGATATTTTAAAGATACATGTCTTCAGACAATTTATTTATATTTTTCATATCACTATTCCATAAAAATTAATAACTGTTTGCTGTGTAAGACATTTAAATACACAGAAGACTAAACAATTAAATGCTTGGGCTGTAATACCAGAAAAGCTTAATGATCCTGGGACAGTTTTTCAATACTGAGCTTTGCTTTTAAAAAAACTTAGTACAACAGAGGCAGGTGTGACCCCTCACCATCTCTTCTTTGTTGCGCCACCATGATGTTCTTTTAGGAGACTCTTGAGCATCTGGTAAGAGCAAAAGTCGGCGAAGGGCACCACTGCTTGTATCCAGCAACAATATAACATTGCTCTGTAAATGAAAAGCAGATCCATGTACATCTTAAGCCCATTTAAGAGACTACAACAATTCTATCTGAAGCACTTTTGCAACTCCAGCAACTTAGGACATTTTGAAAAGGTAATCTAGATTTTGTTGGAAAACATAAGCTGAATTTTCCTCATTCATTTCAAAGTTCATAGAGAAATTGAATTGGAGAGGTTTAAGTACATGCGAGGGCTCACATTCACTTCTGTATAACCTCTAGGAACTAGACTAGTATGGCTTACATGTCCAAGCTCTGATCAGTTACAGGTGAGGGACACATCAATTTGTTCTGTCAAGTCACTAAAATATTTCTTTTTACTTTATGTTTTCTTACCATTTCTCTAATGTACCCATGGCTTCAGTAACACTGAAGGTGACAAACTGGTGAAGAAGAAATGGCTTAGTACTTTCTCTCCAGTTTCATACTTCTGATACTGTGGAGCCTATTAAATATCTCAGTGTGTGACAATCCTTCTGTAACCTGCACGCTCAGGCAGCTTAGAGTGCCAGAGATAGGACAGCTGTGGGAGGACAGCAGAACGGACATAAAAAGCAGACGGGGTATTGCACAGAGTGGTGCGTTTTCCACGTCACACGAAAATATGGTATGCTAAATTTCAAACTTCTTCAGATTTCTCAATGCCCCAGGGTCCACACATGTCAAATGACAGGGGCATTTTAAACGTTTCTTTTTGCAAAATACTCCAGCTGCTCCTAATGTGTTTACCTAAGAATTCAAGAGAACAGTCATTCAGGGACAACCTTAACTGCATCAAATGAAATTTAAAAGGTACAAAGGAACAAGTTAATTAAGCCTTGGGTTGAATTTTTTGTTTGCCATTCAAGGAAATGTTAGGGTCTGCAAGGACATTAGGTTCTGCAAGAACTTACTAAAAGTAAACTGTCTACGTACATCATGTGCAATAACACATGACAGACGTTAAGGAAGTAAAACATAAATTCCCACAAATTCCCCTAAATAAAACAAATACAAACAATCTGAGTCACGGTGGTTTTGTTCTTTTTGGGTATACTTCATACCTTCACTAGAATTATTTGTGAGAGTTAACTTTAATAATGATAGAATTTAAAACTAAATATGGTAAAGCATTTAAAATATTATCAGTTATTTGGAGCATTTGGGAATTTCAGTTCAAGTTCAATATTTCTAAAAAAGGAAGTTTGCTTATGTATTACAAACCAAAATTATATAAATGTGGTTCAGGAAAAAAAAATAGGGCATTTGCTTTGGATTTTGGTTTTCTGCTATATTTTATTTATACTATTCTGTAGCAGCACTGCTGTACCGAGGCAATGCATTAGCCTTCCACGTGAGATAAAGAACACATACGAATCAATTACATTTTTCCACTTAGTGTTAAATTTATGAGAGAAGTTGGTAATATAAAAAGCCTCTCTACCCCACCCCTTTTGATGTTAATGGTTTCCTTCTGTGCTGTGACTGATGTATATTCTGTCTGTGTTTAAGAATAGATTTTTGCGTCACTTGCGAACACATCCGAGAGCAGCTTTGGCAACTCTTCAAGCGGGCTGGGAAAAGACGTTGGTGTGCAATTCCACTGTGTTTGTTCTTGACTGGGAGAAAAGTAACCTTTGGGTGACCTCCCAACCCCAGTGTCTGGAATTCCAAGCTCTGGACAGATGCAATAACCAATCTCGTGAAGTGGTGTGCCTTTATTTTTAGTTACTCCAAAGTTTCCCTTTCCTTACCACTGTTTTTATTTTAGCCAGCATTTTCCTCTAAAAAGTCTTTAAATCAAACAGGGCTGTGATTCATTTTGCTGGTATGGGAAGTTTTTCCTTATAGTCTTGCAGACAGAGTGGAGAGCTTGGGGAATTTTCAGAGTGAGATAGTACAAATAACTCGCTTTAACCCTTTTGTATTTTGCTCCCCAAACTCACTGTCAGTTTTGATCTCTTCTGCCCTCACTGCTCATGTCCTGAGCAAGCAAGCTTGCAAATACAGACTCTTCTTAGCTGCCAGCTTCAGACTGAGGCTGATCTTTAGCTTGGCAGGGTAATCCCTTCATACCTCTTCTTGCCTCCTGTACCACCTTTTCTATTAGAGTCATTCAAGGACCCCTTGAGTGACATACAGGTAACAATCCTGACACTGTAAATATTAGGCATAGATACAAACATTAACACACTGTTCACCAGGTTCAATTGAAAAAAGTCTGTGCACGAATCTGTGGTTTGGGGCTCAAACCTCCATGTCTTCAGAGGAAGGGAAATGTATGCAAGTAGATTACTGGTGTTCTAATTCATGCAAGTGGCATCTTTCAGATGATTTGGGAGACTTTATTGTACTCAAGATTTCAGTGAACTGGGATAGAGATCTAGTAGAGATAAGCAGAGATATAAGCTTTGTGCTTATGGGAAATGAGTCTTCTCCCTTTCTATAAAAGATGCATACATTTCTATGTAAGCACATTTCTATGTGCTTGTAGAAAAGGAAAGTCTTATATAATATGCAGAAAAAAAATAACATCTACTAGTTTTTGAAAAAAAATACATCCTTTGTCCTGAAGACATACATCAGAATATTATGGTAACTAGAAGTTTCAGATGTTACTACTAGTATGTTACAGGTACTTCCATACTCAGGAATTACGTGCTTCAGGCCAGATCTGTTAAAAAAGTTAAAACTGTTAAAAAAGTCTTCTTTTAAATGATGATTGACATCTTCTATGTGTAGTGAGCAAGGTGGATCTCTGTGTCAGTTTCTGTGTCACAGGCTCCCTCACCCCCTTGTTATCAAGGAGCTTTGACAAAACTTGCAGCAGCACTTGGGACACGGAAAAGCACTTCCCTCCCTCACTACCCCACTTCCTGACCAAGAAATATAAAAGCAGAGTTAAAGAATGCTGGCAGGACACTGCTTGGATGAACATTGTTGTGCTCCTTGACATAGACTACAGGTTACTCTGTTTGTCCAGATGCAGCCTTTCAGCAGAGTAAAGTGTGTGTAAAAAAACCTGGAAGTGTGCTGTTAACTTAAGGCAAATCAATTCTCCATGTGCATTTTGCTCCTACAACCCCATACAAAATTATGCATAGAGTTATCAAAATTCTTTTCAGTCTGTAAATGTTCTTCTTCTGAACACTAAAACTAACTGGTGCAGAAAGAAAAAGTGTAAGTGGTGGGCACAAAGCTTTAACAGGAAGTAGAAGTACACCCTGAAGTACACGTGGGCAGGGGCATTGCTGCTTCGAAAATATGAATGCAATTCCCATCTTACAAGGAAGTTACTTGAGATTTCTGAAAAGTCCTTTCAAAGTCTATCACTTTAGTCTGAACAAAAAGATAGAAGCAGAACAGGCTGTGCTCACCGAGACCAATGGCCAATGTGAGAAATAAAATCATTTACTCTTTCTTCCAAGAAGATGTAAATGTGCTTTAAAATGAGATAAATACCCGATTTGTGCAATTAAGTTAAATCCCTGAGGAGTTTGCTTTCAGTAAAATTTTAAATGGACAGGAAGGAATGGTGATTTTTTATTTTATTTCACTGGAGGGCTCTAATGAATCCAGATGGATGTCATCTGTGAAATAAATCATACAAGTTTATTTGAAAAGCCACAGTATCATAATCTCATCTTTTCCAATAAGATTATCTTCCATTTAAAATTGTTCTTTTTTATAAATTAGTCAGAAGCATTCATCTCCAAAGACCTTTATTAAAAGAAAAAATGGAAAAAAATGCTTTTGGTATTGTCTAATTAATGTATTATGTTATTTAGGAAATAGCAGCTGTCAAGTGGCCTTTTTACTTAATAAATGCAAGTTCTTATTTCTACAAATATTGTTAATACTTCTTGGTCTTTTTGCAAGTAAACACAAATGAACCTCTAAAGCATAACATACATCATTTATATTGCTTGTTTTTCTTGTTTTGCTTGATGCACCTGTAGCACAAGTGGCTAACCCTTGGAGCCTTGCCAAAAATACAGATGTGCCACTTTTCTTAACATGTGAATGCTGCAAATTTTGAGTTTATGCCTGCCAGTGACCTTAGTAGATCTGAAAGTAGTCATCTTGACTATATGTTAAGGCTCCTGCTGCTGCCAGTAGAAAGAGAGAGGCACTTCCAGAAGACAATTCAACATGTTCTACCTTAACTGGGATGAAATGCTCTTCAGATCACCTTTATTCTCCTGGCAAATATAGAAGGTACTTGGATTATCGTCTTAGACCATATGTTTACCTGCTAATGTCAATAATAATGGATTTAATTTCATACACAGCAACATCCACCTTATTTCACAGGTGCACAGAGCACATGATTTTTCCATGGCTCCGCTGCAGAAAGAGTTGGGAATGAAACCTTAGCTGTGAAGACTACAACAGCAGCATTTGTCTGAACTGTGCTTTGGTGACTTGCTTAAAAACCAATCCCAAATAAATTGCTAATGTCGTCCATGGATACAAGCATCCAGTATACAAAAGAACCCCTTTTCATCTTTTTTTCTGATGCAAGATGTGCAAGATTCTTACTTAAGTTCTCAAGAAGTCAAAATTTACTTTTGAATGGCGTCCTAAGTACACAATGACTTTTTGCAACCAAGTTTGTAATTAAATCAAATGTATTTTCACAACCAATGAGTAAGATCTGCCTCAATTGTAACACTATGTAAAAAGTTTTAAGATAATGCAAAACATTCAGAACATTTTAATTCTGTATTATTTTCCAGCAGTGTAAACCAGGCTTATTTACAGACAAGGTTTATTCACCTGTAGCACTTGCCAAGAAAGGTAAGTCTGAAACAGGCAATATTTAAGCTTTGCCAGAGAAAAACAAGAAGTTACAGCTTGACTGAAGTCACCTGGAAAGGGACACTGAGCTACAATAGTTTCTCCAAAGAGCAAATTTTATTTTAGTCTGAAAAACATATACATCATACTATCACTGAAAAATATATTCCATGAGGACAGACAAAACCAGACACTGATAAAACTACCTAAAGCTTCACAGAAGAACCTTTGATAAAAGCTTCATTGTTGACACCAAATGCTACCGTGAGTTGGTTAAAAACAAAATGGTAGAAATTTTAGAGAATTAGAAAACAAGGAATATTGCTGGCTTGATATTAAGAAGTGCGAGACATTCTAAACATTTTTAGATACAAGATAGACTGCCATCTGTTTTAGTTTCCTGCACCAACTTCGCCAAAGAAGAATAGGGATTATTTAGAACCAAACAAATGTGTTACGCGCAACTCAAAAGAGCTCAAATGGTACTTCTATAGTTGTTCAACAAGAAGGTAACCTCAGAATCATTTTTTTTCCAACTTGCATTGGAAAGTGTCCAAGGTGAAGCTAAAGAAGGCACAGGCAGTTCTACTAAAGGAAGAATTTTGTTTCTCATAAGGCATCGAGCTTAACTGTAGTGTTTGACACCAGAAAGTAGCACTGACACTTGACAAACATTCCTGGAACAACAGTATCACAAAAACACTAGAAATGACTGAAAATTATTTAATACCCCATTTCAATGTAGGAAAAGTTCTTCTAGATTGAAGTCTCTAACCTATTGAAAAATGCGCAGAAAAAATTCAGAAAAAGAAAAGGAAAAACCAGCCAACAACAATGATCAGATTTCATGCCCATGTCAAACCACAATGACTGGTAGGTAACACAATAAACTATTATTAATATTAAAAAATGAACAGCAGCACTACAGTATACACTGTTGTCTCTTCCCACTCTTGGGCAAAGAAGTTTTGAATTGGAAATGTTACAATCAGTTCACTAACAGTAAGAGAAAGTGGAAAGCAAGCAATATTTGTCTTTAAAAAAAGTGTTCGAGTCAAACCAACACAGAAGTTGTCAGTGGTTCTAAATTTGCATTGCTGATACTCTGGATGTTAAGGTTTGCATAGTCTCCTTTCTAATCTTAATACTTCAAATGGTATAGAATGAGAAATGGATTCACCAAACAAATCAAAAATAGTGGTATGAAGGAAATATAAGCAACATTTTACTTTGTGACTCAGAAAACATCTCTTTTATATACTATTTGAAAAGTAAAAAAGGAAGCAGAACTTAAGTTCACATATTACACCTTACTCTGGACTTCACACTTTGCAAACATGCTGCTTGACTGAGACTCCTGAACTCGATACACTCTCTCCCTTTCTTCCATGAAGGCCAATCTCCCTCTATCAGTGAGAAATAAGATAAGCAGGTAGAATTCAGCTTCAAGAATGTCCAGCTAAAAAGTGCAAGAGGAAAATCCCCACATAAAAATTGAAGCTGTAGGCAACTCCCAAGCTTCAAGTACAGTAAAAGAGAGAACATTCAGCAGGAGGTAGGCTTGTCCAGGCTATTTCAGTCTACAGAGGTAGTCTCCTTGGTGATCCCACCCTCATGATGCTACTTTGCTCATCATTAAACATTTAGCTGCGTTTTAATTTTTTTTACCTCCTCTTCATGTAGAACCACTTGACCTTTGAGTGGATTTCCCAGAGGAGCCACAGTCACAAAAGGTTGCCAGACACTTCCAACTGTTCTCGGGAAGAGGTCATAAAGATTCACAAAGTATCCACTCTTACTAGAAACATTCATGAAGTACAAAGTAACAGGATTGCAGGTAGTAACATAAAGAATGTTTTCAGGTTCCTCTTCTGAAACGAGAAAATAATGAAAGGCTACTGACTGTGCATTGCTCTTCTGGAAATAGATGTGTCATAAACTTGGCAGATAATACAGCAAAAAGTACAGAAAAATCACTTCTGTTGACACAGGAAGATAAAGAGAGAAATGATCTCTTGATACTGATTAAATATTAACAGGCAGAATCTTGTAACACTATTGACAAACAAGCAGTCCAAGACACATTTGTCTAGACAGGACTACAGCATCTGCCAGCTGCTAATATGTAAAACACCTTTTCATTCGATTTTGTTTGTTTATAATCTTGGTTCACCCTCGTTCTCTATCCCATCTTCCCTTAAAATTCATGTATTCCTTCCAGAACTTTTCACATGTAGCACCTTCCTGAGTGACTGCAGACTATTCTTGAAATCAATACAGAGCCACCTAATTTCTGTTTTGTTGCCATAAAAGTCTGCTAATCTATTTAAAAGTTGTACTACAAGTAGAAAAAGCATCATTCCAGTATTGATCATTAATGATCTGTTTATAACAACAATAAAGTTTAGACATGTTTAAAATTATGAACGCTAAATACATTTATGAATATTTCCAATGGTGCAATTTGCTTTGAGACATAAGTAGTACAGGTCAAGGCAGGTTTGATCCAGTGAGAAAGAATTTTAATCAGCATGAGAACGGTGGAAAAAAAGCACAGCACTCTCCAAGTTAAAAAATTTGTATTAAAATCGAACTGACAGAGGAAAAGTCAAAGAATCGTTTTTAAGTAATGCAGACTTGCAATTTTGTGGCTGTGTTTTACTCTATTTACACATCTTTCCCTTAGTTTGAGAAGGATGCATATCCTTACAAAGACCACAATGACTCGGTGAAATTATGCTCCAAATTCAATGACTGATTAATTTTGTATTTCACCTGCTGTTTAAAAAAAAAGTGGAAATAAAAAATTATTATTCCTATAGTCTGTTCCCATAGTAGATATTTTAATTCCAATATTAAAATTCCTAGTATTATGCCTGTACTCCATTGCAAACACATCTAGAAATATCCACTACTATAAATGCACGGAAGTGTTACTATGCTTACGAAGTCAACAGTCTAGTCCTTCATCTTCTCCAGGATATGTCACTATTTATAATACTTGGGATCAACATAAAAGTTAGTAGCTTTTCTTACGGTACCTTTGGTTACAGTGACATCACAAACTATGTTAATTTCATCTAAAGGCAGTGTCCAAAAAGCAAGTTCTTCAGTGAAATTGAGGGACCTGGCTTCATGTCGTTCCACTGGAAAGCCTTGAATATTTAAGTACACAGGGCCCTAAAACAAACGACAACAATGAGGGCTTCCTAAAATATCCCACTCTCCATTTTTCATGAAAATCTAGAAATCTTCAAGGCATAATACTCTTAACACCAAAACCAGACCAATTACTAGCTAAATAAAAGGGAAAAGGAAATGTTTTCTGCAAGCTCTCTGAATGTCCATACTACCATTTTCTTTACAGTACAGAAACCATTATGCCTTTTCACTTTAGTCTTTTAATGGTTTGGAACCATTATTGCTTAATGACATGAAGGAGATATCATGTACTGATAAAAAGCAGTTCATACAAGGAAAAAAATCAGAATATTTTTGTTTCAAAGAAGTTTGATGGCAATTTCTTTTTATATAAAGTTTAAATCTCACCCCTACATCACATCAGAAATTAATGTTTTTCCTCACTCACTGCAGTAATAATTACTGAAGTTCAACCAAGAGCCCAGAGCTGAAAAGGACTTAGAAACTTTGGCTGCAGATAAAATTTTACCAAAAGTTCAGATTCAAACTTGGAAGTGCCAAAGACTTGTAAGAATTCAGCTGTATGCAAAATAGAAAAAGAAAACGGCTTTATTTTGAGTCTCTGATTGTAGTCAATAATTGAGGTCTGGGGTCTGAAACTGGCCACCTCCAAGCATCCAAAACAGCTATGAAGTTCTTTCACATGTGGTACTTTCAATATTCTTATAAAAATCTCTTTTAAAGAACTTCTGGCAATCTTAGTGATTTTAAAGCACATCTTACATTGTGAGGGCTAGGTATATAAAAATGATATTGTTCTGGTCAGTATAAAAACCCCAAGAACAAATGATAAGGACCACACTTTGTACACACTCTTTTTCCTAGAGAAATTAATCACATTTTAGATCCTTCATGTCCCAGTACATAAAACCAGTATTATATGAATTGGAAAAAAAGTTTAAAATACAAACCTTTACATCTATTTTTTGAGTTTCTGATGGACACAGCAGCTTCTGTTGTGCATTTCCTGGCTGATCAACTTTCCAGTAGCCCATAAATTTATGATCTGGTAATGGCAGTCTGTCAAATAATAGAAGAACAAGTGAATCTGTACATTTATTAACCTGTAACTGATACGGAATAAATAATTTAAACAATTGCATTTTTCTAAAGAAATATATCTGAAGATTCCTTGCTAAAAAGATTTCATTCCTTTTTAAATCATAAAAAATTTAGTCTCCTGTATTACTAATACAGTCACAATCTACGCAGTATGATAAAAGAAGAAGCAATGCATATAAAATTGCCTAAAAAGGATAAATTTTGTGACATATGCAGCAAAATATATCCAAATCATGTCTTGCTTTGCTTTATTCGGATCAGGTAGGGTATGATAGCAACCGTTAAAGGAACTCCTGTCAGTGGCTCACTCATCTAAAGCCCAGCAGAATAAGCAAAGTAAACACTGTAGCTAGTTAACAATGCAATAAAAGTTTCATTAATTATTTCTATTTATTTTACCACTAGTCACATGAACAAAGGCAAAGTAATACAGACATGAGAGTACCCCATTGCCTTCTGGCCAACACCATCTACAGAAAGGACAGGGACATCTTCAAAAGCCACATTTACTTGCCTTGGTAAGTAAATTCATTAATTTAGTATGAATTTAGTAGATTTATTCATTTCTGTACCTTTTATTTAGGGAAGAAATACAGGGATGACAGTAAAACTCATTTATATAGGAAAAGAAAATGTTGGTGTATGACAGTGTAGCATGACAGCAAAATAGGAACAGCACAATTTTTATTTCTTTCCTCTGAAGTGATTTGCAACCACTGAGAGCAATTTGAATTCATTAAATGGCATGAATACCTTCAAGCTAATGAACTTATAACTTTTGGTTTCTTTTACTTGGGATCAATTGCTCCTAAAGAGACCTCCTATCAAAACAACATTCTGTGTTCCATGTCGTTGCACATTACCATACTACAGGACTTGGCAAGAGAATAGAAGACATTCCTTCTCCCAGTTTCTATAAATATCTTCAAAGTCTATTTTAAGGAAGTTCTCTTAGACTGTTTGTTAAAAGGATCTGCTTGGTCTCTGTTCTATCTGATGATTCTTGTTCCTACTGTTATAATTATTTTCCCTCTCCTCACCATTTAAACTGGTCCTTCTAGATACTAGAGATTTGTTTAATTTCTTCTTTATATTATATAGAATAAGAAGGGATCTCAAATAAAAAAAAAAAACCAACAAAAAACTTCAGTTGGACTATATATGAAACTTAGGGAATTCTATTTTTGTTTTATTTTTCCCCTAAAAACTTAAGAGGAAAAGTCAGGGAATGAACACAAATATCCTCCAATCTTTGCTACTCATGCAGGAAAGATGTGTTAATGTTTCTTAATGGTATATTGACACCAAACCTCAAGCCACCAGGAGAAGCCAGAAATTGAAGGCAGACAGACACTCAGCCTCCATCACCTTTATGTGTTTGGACCATCTGCCAGGACAGCGAAAGACACTTTTTGCAAACAGAAAATTTTGTGGATGATATAGATTGTTGGTGCTCATAGACAAATAAATATCCAGGTGTCAGCAATATGCCACTGGGACATGTAAAGTGCATCCCATTAATTCCCTCTCTTAGTCAGAACCAAAAGAATCTTCATTGCCTGTTTGTTGCCTAATTAAGAATATTAATAGATGTCAATGTTTGCAGAGCGATTAATTTTGAATTCTTCCTCACTTCAGTTTGTATTTTTCCATTCTTTACACCTAGCTAATCTAGCCAAAATTCTTCCCAAATTAAGAAGAGAAATTAAGCCAGACTCAAAAAAAAAAAAAAAAAGGCAAGCAAGTACAATATGGCAGATGACAACATCCAACACTATTAGGGAAAAACATTCAGGACGCACTATTTCAACATACACAAAAATCTTAGCGAAATTTATTCCTGCAGTCAGAGAATGGGTAAACAGTCAAGTCACTATACTAAATGTCAATTTAGATGTCTAGAATTTTACTATAGTCTTCCATTTGGGGTTTCTAAATGATTTGTTGGCAAAACATTGGTTATTTCTTGAACCACAAGCTGCCTTGTGTGCAAAAAAATCCTGGAGATTTCTTTTTGCTCTATGAGTCCAAGTAGCATAATCTCTGATATGTCTATAATCAGGAATAATTATTTCCTGTTAGCTCAGTGGAACATCGACTTTCACAAGGATTTGGACTTTAGTTTTAATTCCTTACACATTACTCCCATGGACAACATCCCAGAAATCAACAGCTTTACTAATAATCATGAATAGCTATAAAATGTAACACAAAACATATGTAAATAACCAGTTCTAAACAAATACTGTGCTTTATATAGCAGTAGAATTACAGATTGCAAAGAAACAAAACATTCCCAAAGAAACAAAACATTTCCACTCTGTTTCAGCATTCTGGAGATTTTCTTTGCTAATAGTTCCTCTCTTCCCTCAGGAAAACTGATTTCTCCTTTCTCCTAGATTCTTGAGGTTTTGTTCTCTTCCCCATTTCTAAATGATTTACTTTCTCTGAGGCAGCAGACCAAGTCATCATAAACAGGAAGGAGTAGGGAAATGTAGATCAGAATTTAAGAATAAAACAGAAAGTAGAGTTCATAATACAGAGCTCTTTGTCAAAGTAATAGGGATCTTATTCTTCTAGGGATTGACAATTTTTTTTCTCCATCTCACTGTTCTCTCATACAAATTTGGTCCAAGAAAGACTGAGTATTGAAGAAGCTGGTGGCATTAAAGGTCTGCCTCCTGAATAACTTTCAGAAGAGACTGAGGGTGCAGAAGGACTGGAACATGCCCACACTGAAAATATGTATACATCTCAACAGCCTTCCTCTAGCGAATATATATGATACACAGCGAAGAAGGGAAATTTTCTTCTTTTCCTATAACTTATAATTAAAAAGTATGTTTTGAAAATAACTTTAAGTGACAGTACTAGTAAAATCTTCACAAGGTGCTCCTGCCACACTGCTGTATTTCAAATTAGTTAACCATATAACATTTACTTAAGTGGCATACAGAACACTATGGAAATGTCAACACTGGCAAAAATATGCAAGGCAAAGAGATCTGATGGGTATAAAAAGTGCAGTGGCTCAGTAAAAAGAGTACTGAGACTCCACTGCTCTCTCCAGCTAGGGGTGTACTGAGTGATCAGTGATTTTTTCTTTTCTCAAACCTGGAAAGGGTTTCTAAAGCAGAAAAACTACAGGACAGACTGCACTAATCTTGTAAGAAAGACAAGATTTAAAAGCAAGTAATTTAAGCCAAGATTTAAAAGCAAGAACTGATCAGTTCTTTGATTGTGATCTGTCAAAGCCTTTTGCTTAAGGAAAATTCAGGGGTTTTTTATTTTAATGTTTATTCGCTCTTAATTTTAGATCCTGGTTTTCTACAGTATTACTGTTGTCCATGAAATGTATACACAAGCAGGTACTTTGTTCAGAAAAGTGATTGCATGGGACTTAGAGCCGATGAGGCAATTCTACAAAAAATTACTATCTAGTCTGAGTTTCTTCATGCACAGCAGTCTAAGGGGAGATGATCTGTCAAAAGGTAATTCTCTTATGCTGCTAGAAAAATTTTCAAAATGACACCTACAGAACACAATTTCTTCCCATTTTTATATTTTTGATTTCAGAAAATAAATTCATTTTAGGCTATTAAAAAAATAAAATCAAACAACAAAAAACCCCAAACCCAAACAACTGTGTTCAAAAAGGCAACAGAATCTGCTTCATAAAGTTATTTATTTGGAGAACACAGTGGAAAATTGCTATGAATCTTGTAAGACTGAAGTTCCACTGAATGCAAATTCTTCACTGCCAGACTAGTACAGCTGCGGACATGAACTAAGACAGGCAACAAAGCTGTTTAATACATGATCTTGTAAAACAGTTCAGTGTTGGCATGGAATATATTATTCAAGGGCTCCAGTAATAGTCTGTGGTCCATGTAGCTGAAAAGACTTCCATCCCATGTAACCTTTCTGGACTAAAGGAAGATATAGTCTGAAATCAGGAAAATTCCTTACCAGCCAGTTGTCCTCAATTTATTCAAACATATTTTGATTAAAAATATAAGCAGTAGATATTCAGAACAGTCGTATGTTAAAACCCGTGTTCGCTGATAGTCAAGTGCAAAGCCCACCCTCAGCTGCCCCCACAGTGCACAGGATGGACAATAGACATATATGATATGAGACATATCCAACAATTAACTACAGATTACCTGGGGGGGGAAAACCAACATCAAAGAACAGTCTCATGAGAAAATTAAAGCTGTTAAAATTACATATTTATATTACATACAGAAAATTCAGTTAATGTAAAAAAATAATCAAATTATAAGAAGCACTTGGATGTGGATAGTGACAGGAGGAAAAATACGGAATGGCAGTTTCAGCAAGGATAAATGTCAGAATTAGAGCTAAATGCTGTTTTACCTAGAAACTGCAGATGGTCTAAACTGTGCACCAAAGTGGCAGATTAACATGAGTTCAGACAAATGTGATGTAACAGATGTCAATGTGAAAAACAAAATGTAATTGTACATAAAGAAAGATAATGAGTTAGTACCACGAGTAATTTATTTTACCCACTATGTCTTGGCAAAGCATCGCAGACAAGCCATCTGCTTTACGCACAATACTGATAAAAATTATAAACTACGGGACAGGTGATATGAGGAGGGACAGACAATATCATAATGTTATAACCTGACAATACGGAACATGTCAGTGCCTTGAAGAATCGTTATCAGAGAATTACAGAATCAGCCGAGTTGGAAAGGACCTCTGAGATCATCAAGTCCAACCCTTGACCCAACACCACCGTGGTTACTAGACCATGGCACTAAGTGCCACATCCACTCTCATCTTAAAAACCTCCAGGGACAGTGAATCCACCACCTCCCTGGGCAGCCCATTCCAACGTCTGCTTACTCTCTCTGTAAAGAATTCTTCCTAATATCCAACCTAAACCTCCCCTGGCAGAGCTTAAGACCATGCCCTCTTATGCTGATGCTGGTTGCCAGGGAAAAGAGACTGATGCCCACCTGGCTACAACCTCCTTTCAGGTAGTTGCAGAGAGTCATGACGCCTCCCCTGAGCCTCCTCTTCTCCAGGCTAAACAGCCCCACCTCCCTCAGCCTCTCCTCACAGGACTTGTGCTCGAGTCCCTTCACCAGCCTCATTGCTCTTCTCTGGACCTGCTCCAGCACCTCAATATCCTTCCTGAACTGAGGGGCCCAGAACTGGACACGGTACTCGAGGTGTGGCCGCACCAGCACTCAGAACAGGGGAAGAATCACTTCCCTGGACCTGCTGGCCACACTGTTCCTGATACAGGTCAGGATGCCTTCTTGGCCACCTGGGCACACTGCTGGTTCGTGTTCAGCTTCCTGTCAATCCAAACTCCCAGGTCCCTATCTGGGAAAAAATGACAACCGAAGAAAACAAAAAGCTCAAGTAAAGCCTTGCTTTAGAGGTCTAATATATGATACTAATTTTGCAAATAAACAAATTAGTATCTACAAATTAATTTCTATCTCAAAAAAAGAACTATTGCAAGAATTATTTTCTACATGGTCATTAGATACCATCTAATCTTTCCATCCATGATTAGGTATATTAATTCCAAAGTCTCACCTAAAATTCCCATAAGACTCACTGCTAGCGTCTGTTCAATTTCCCTTGTAATTTCAGCTGGATACAACCCTAAAGTTTCTTCTGTTGAGACCCTGTATTATAGTGCATTGCCAGTGTGCCTCATGGTTTCTTTCCTGTATTTACAGCAGTTATGTTTCAGTAGCAATTTAAGTAGTTCTGATTTATACAACTTTTATATTAAGTAGTATGTGACAGACTTCTCCAAAGCTTATTAAAATAAAGATTCACAAATCATTTGATACAAGACAAGCCAGAAGATACCTGTATAAAGGAGTGAGCATTTCAGTATAATGATTTTCCTGTCCTAGAATCTCCTGGAAATGCTTCTATAATGCAAAACTTTGTATTCTTATACAATGAATTTGCTGTAGGTTTGACTAACATCCTTGGGCAGAATTGGTTTGGACTACTATCCCAGTGTTCATGTTACTTAGTAGAAACCCTGAGCAATTTATTACGATAACTAGTAAGTCTTAGAAGTCTAGAAAATTAAGACGGGAGCACAGAAGTCATCTGTGGGGGTATGCTGTTTTTGCTAGAACAATGTAGAAATCATATCTGGTAAACCTTCAGACTGTAAACTTGTGAGAGCCTAGAAGCAGGTAGGAAAACGAGTTTAAAACAGAAAGTGATCTTGACAAGTCAGAGAACTAACTTGAAAAAATACAAGACAGTAAGAAAAGTGTAAGCACGAAGGAAGTTGATTACATAAAGTGACGACGGGATAAGAGCTATGGAGGGTTCTGCAGAAAGGATGTGGAGGTTTATGTTTAGAAAACCAGAGGTGAGTTAAACATTGAAAGAAATGCAAACATACTGAGCTTTTTAAAAGGAACCGTGGCATGAAATACATCTCTGTACATCTATGTTCTATACTCTTGTACTTGGCTCCACTAGAAACGAACTCGCCCAGTTTCACACACAATGCTTAAAGATAGACACAAATCAAGTGAAGAAAGGGAACATAAAAGAAAAATAAAATCAACCAATGGCCTTAAAAAAGAGGAAAGATTGAAAGGTGACTTTCTAATGGCAAGGATATTTAGCAACAAGACTGACTTGCTTTGGGAGGTTATAGAACTCCATCTCTGAAGGTCGTCAGGCATGAATCATGAAAAAAAAGAGATAAAGTTTCTATAAGGTAGTGGGACGGACCACATAAGCATCATTATCCTCCTCTCAGATTCATGGAAAACATTAGAGAGGAGGTCAGTACTCTAGTACCTTTTCTGCAGTGATCCAAACACAATATACCAAATTACCTCAATGTGTCCATCACAGGAGCTTGCAATTATGGACTGGAGTAGATTTGAAGAGATTATCTCAATGTTCTTTTACCCCAAGGTAGAATCAACTGTGCTGAAACCATTCCTGAAAGATGTCTGTAATTCAAGGTGATCTGCCTGTGGCTTACAAGCTCCATAGGGTTAAATCTCATGATCAACAGCAAGGTTGTCCTGCAATGGAGCAGTAGGATAACCTCAAATTCCGGAAGTAGTAAGGGATTGAGACACAGATTTCTGGATCATGAGAGCCAGGTGGTCAGCCCAGATGGTGAGATCTAAGAAAATGTCGCTTTTATCAACTGTGTGTGAACCACTTCTGTAGTTTCTCCTCCCCTTGGGTATCAGTGTATAAAGAATGTGCTCATAGCTGCCAGTCAAGTGAAGTTTTGTGGGGTTCTTGTAAGTCCTTCATCCTTGGCGCAACCTGTCCTATGAAACCTCAGTGATGAATTAAAAATGATCACGTGATTATCTTTAATTCAATATAATTGCATCAATATAACTAATGCATTCTTCTATTTTATCACTTCTAGACTGAGCTGTCCCCAATTACAGCAGTCTTTCTCTTATGCTTCCTAAACCTCTGATCTTCTCATTACTAAAGAGTCCTCTCCCACATCTAAGACTTCTAAAAATTATACAAAGAGCAAATTTCTCAAAAACTATAGCAAACGTCATAATTCTTGAAAAGAGAAGTTACCGAGGGACTTTTAGCAGAGAAACCATGGCAAGAGTTTCAAGTGTGTACTGTCAATTTGGCAGAAATTGTAGTTGCTGGTTGCCTAGGCATGTAACAATCCTGTCAACAAAATTAAAAGGTACACCACAGGCACTACACTGCCAATCTTTTTGAATAGTTATATGTAAGATGTTAGATATAACAGTAGTACTCCATCAGGAGAAACCTACATTCACATGGACACTTAATATCATAGAATGGGTAAGGCTGGAAATGACCAGAGCAGGTTATCTGGTACAACCTCCTTGCTCCAGCAAGGTGATTCTAGAGCACAAGGCACAGGACTGTATCCAGATGGTTCTTGAATATCTCCAGTGAGGGAGACTCTATAACCTCTCTGGGCAATTTGTTCCAGTGCATAGTCACCTACACTGGAGTAAATATCAAGACATCATGCCATTTTAATCAGTCCCTCCTCAGCAAATATAAAATATATGTGTCACATGGCAGACTCAATTTTCTATATATCCATAAAGCTTTCTCCATGAAAGGGAAATATTTGTTTCTTCAAAAATAATTTATGTATTAAAGTTCAAGACAGAGTAAGTTTCCAATTGCTTTTCAATATGATCTACTTAAGTCTGTTTCCTGTGAATTTTAGAAGAATTAATTATATTTGTTCATAGAATCACAGGATCATAGAATGGTTTGGGTTGGAAGGGACCTTAAAGATCATCTAGTTCCAATCCCTCTGCTGTGGGTAGGAACATCTTACACTGGACTAGGTTGTTCATAATTCCATCCAACCTGGCCTTGGACACTTCTAGGGATGGGGCATCCATAGCTTCTCTGGGCAACTTGTGTCAGTGTCTCACCACCCTCATAGTAAACAATTTCTTCCCAATACCTAATCTAAACCTGCCCTCATTCAGTTTAAAGTCATTCCCCCTTGTCCTGTCACTACATGCCCTTGTCAAAAGTCCCTCTCCAGCCTTCTGGTAAGGTCCCTTCAGGGAGTGGGATGGGGCTTGAAGGGCAGAGGGCATTAATACATAACGTAGCTATTTTGATTCTAATCTCTAGAAAAAAGTATATGGTGCAATATGTCAACTGGTAATATAATCCAAGAATAATTGTGATTTACAGACACATACAAAAATGGTTCTTAGACCTTACATGAATTGCCCCATTCGGCAGAAATATTTTCGTAGAGCCTTTTGCGAGCATCAAAGACAAAACCCAACTACCACTGAAGACAACTTTTGTTTCTACAGATTTAGATGATAAATAACAGGACAGAAGTGTGTTGCGATTCAATTAAAAACACAGGAGAAGAAACAAGTATTTCCCTTTATTAAGATGTAACTGTTTACCTTACAAGCTATCAGTATGTACATGGACATTAAAGATTAAATGTAATAATAAGCAAATACTCCATTACGAAGTATTTTATATTGTTGTAGCTTATTTGGAAGATTATAAATTTGAACCAGTGGAGGATTGACTTTCAAGCATTCCAGGTTGTTTTTAAATCAGTTAGCAGCAAGATAACACACTATAAAAAGTGATCATGAGAAATATGTCTTCTTAACATATATTTTATGTTATTCTTACTCCTTGGCCAGTTGTACATTGGTCGGTTTTGCTCCAATAGGTATTCCATACTTGTGCAAAGTGTTGTACAAAATTTCACACATTTCCTTGTTGTAGGAGTCAAAGTCAAACACGTTTCGAACAACATTTGCGAGTCCTTCAGCTGGAAATTTCTGTGAAGAAACAAAGACTCCTAAATATCTTTCAGTGACTACCTATTAAGTTACAGCATATCATTACATACTTCTAAGATGAATAGCTGTAATAGTAACTTTTCTCGACAGAAAAATGCTTAAGTAATCTATGCTTTCAGTTTCTAGAATAAAGAAGGTACATAATTTCTAAGTTAAAAATTGTTGAATTAAACAAAAAAGCATGTGACAATTATTTAATAGTCAACATCATTAATAGTGAATTGTTTTCATTATACACATTACAAGATGCTGTAATCATTAGAAAATATAGTTAAAAGCAGCCTGTATTTTTTCAATTTACTTTCTGTAAACAATGAAGATCAAACACAAATACATATATTTGTATAATTCAGCCATACATTTAAGAATTCTCACTCTATTGTTGAATACAGAAAAACAGATGATACACTGCTTGCTTGCCAAAAAATACTTTACATCATGACGGATTTTCGTAGAAACAAATTCACTTAGGATTCACAAAGTTTTTTTTCTCAGTGAAAAATACTAGTTGAAATGTGCCATGTACATTAAAAAAATCCCAAACGTTTATCAAATTTTGATCAATTTCTCCAACAATGGAATTTTTGTTACTGTATTGGATTGATGATTTTGGATGAGGAATTGGTTGGATGGTTGCATCCTGAGGGCAGTGGTCAACGGTTCAAGGTCCTGATGGAGATGGGTGACAAGTGGTGTCCCTTGGGGGTTGTACTGGGACCAGTACTGTTTAATATCTTCATCAATGACATAGTGGGATCAAGTGCAGAGGGATCTGGACAGGCTTGAGAAGTGGGGCCATGGGAACCACATGAAGTTCAACAAGGCCATGTGCACAGTGCTGCACCTCGACTGGGGCAACCACTGCTATAAATACAAGTTGGAGAGTGAAAAGATTGAGAGCAACCCTGCCAAGAAGGACCAGGAGGTACCAGTGGATGAAAAGATGGACATGACCTGACATTGTATGCTCACAGCCCAGAAAGTCATTTGTACCCTGGGCTGCATCAAAAGCAGCGTGACCAGCAGGTAGAGGGGAGGGGATTCTGCCCCTCTACTCTGCTCTTATGAGACCCCACCTGGAGTACTGCATCCAGCTCTGGAGTCCCCAGCACAGGAAGTGCTGGAGTGAGTGCAGAGGAGGGCCATGAAGATGACCAGAGGGCTGGCACACCTCTCCTATGAGGACAGGCTGAGAGAGTTGTTCAGCCCGGAGAAGAAAAAACCCTGAGGAGATGTTTAGGCAACCTTCCAGTACCTAAGGGGTTACAAGAGAGCTGGAGAGGGACTTTTGACAAGGGCATGTAGTGATAGGACAAGGGGGAATGAGTTTAAACTGAAAGAAGGCAAATTTAGGTGAGGTATTAGGAAGAAATTCTTTACTGTGAGGGTGGTGAGGCACTAGAAACAGGTTGCCCAGAGAAGCCGTGGATGTCCCAATCCTTGGAAGCGTTCTAGGCCAGGATGGATGGAATTTTGAGCAACCTAGTCTAGCGGACAGTTCCCTGCCCACAGCAGAAGGGCTGGAACTAGGTACCTTCCAACCCAAACTATTCTATGATTCTATAAGTTAAATTGGAGGAATAAGAGAAATGAAGAACCACTCAAAGAAACTTATGCCACTGATTAACAAAGAAACTGAGGTGGAGGACCCCAAGATGTAGCAGGTATATGCCCAAAGGAGGCTGTGACCCTGCGGGAAGCCCACATTAGAGCAGGTTTGCTGGCAGGACTTGGGATCCTGTGGAAGGCACACACTGGAGCAGTTAATGCAGAAATGCAGCCTACGGAAAGGACTCATACTGGAGAAGTTTGTGGAGGTCTGTCTCCTGTAGGAGGAACCTCGTGATGGAGCAGGGAAAGAGTGTGAAGAATCCTCCCTCTGAGGAGGAAGCAGTGGTAGAGACAATGTGTGATGAACAGACCACAACTCTCTGTCCTTCTGTGCTGCTGGAGCAGAGGAGGTAGAGAAAGTCAGGAGTGAAGCTGAGCTTGGGAGGAAGGGAGGGGTGGAGTGAAGGTGTTCTACGATTTGGGTTTAATTCTCATTGCCCTACTCTGATTTGATTAGGAATAAATTAAACTAATTTCCCCAAGTTGAGTCTGTTTTGCTCACAATGGTAATTGGCGAGTGATCTCTCCCTGTCCTTATCTCAACCCATGAGCCTTTCATTATATTTTCTCTTCTCTGCCCAGCAGAGGAAGGGAGTGACAGAGTGGCTTTGGTGGCACCTGGCCAGGGGTCAGCCCACCACAGATGTAAATGGAGCAAACCAAATAAAAAGCATTTTAAAAAATAATCACCAAATTGCTATATATACCAGAACCTTGCTGCTTAACAGCTTTATTTTACCTTTGTTTTTCTGGCAAAAGGTGGGAGTGAGAATTTTTTTATTTAAAAACTTTTAACTTTTTCTTCATATGCCTTTCATTCAAATACTAGATATTTCAGACCAGGACCTGGATGTTTCAATCTCAGTATATCTCTTTTACAGTAATGAAGATAAATTTGTGAAGAAGTATTTTAGGAAGTTGAAGTCTTAATTGGTTTATTCTCCACTAGTGAAGTAGGCTGGTACAAAGAATTTGAAAAACAGACTTAATGTAAGTGTCAAAGAAGCTTATAAATGTATTAAAAATAAAGATATTTGAGTCTTGCTTAAAAACTAAAACAGAAGAAAGCAGAAAATTTTCCTAAGTGTTTTGACCTGTACTCTTAATCAAACATCAGCCTTAGTAAGGAGTTTAATATTTTTCCCAACTTAATAAATATCTAATCTCTGTAATAAAATACCTGTGACACAAGCAATACTAAATTCAGCTAGTTACTGTGATAGACTGGAATACCAATGCTAAAATAGGCTTGTACAAACCTTTTTTAATCTGTGGTATACATGGCATAGAATATTTTAGTACTAGTGTTGGTATAAAAGTATGCTAAACTATGTCCTGCTTTTTAAACCTATCCATGAGGAACCTTTTAGAGATTCTGCATTATTACAGTCTAGCGAAATACAAGTTATTGTGGGATAATAAGTTGTCCTACAGCCTATGCTATCCTTGTTACAATGTCCATTCCATACTGAATTAAACAGGTACTAAAACCAAAATTTCTCCCAACTGCTATTCTAACTTAAGTTTGTGACAATGTTTAGTAGCCAAAGTACTAATAATGAAAATTGCACCTTGGAGTCAAACATACTGAAAAAGAAAAGCCCACCAACTTATAAAAAGGTACATGATGGTAAGGTTCATAAACGTGTAAAGCTACTTAGTACTCCATATGCAGGACTTTATTTCAGTCTGTTTTCAAGTGTGGCTTCTTTTTAATAAGAAGAGAAAAACACAATTGTGCATACTCCATATAATCAAACTCTCAAGCACAAGTCCTGTGAGGAGAGGCTGAGGGAGGTGGGGCTGTTTAGCCTGGAGAAGAGGAGGCTCAGGGGAGGTCTCATTGCTCTCTACAACTACCTGAAAGGAGGTTGTAGCCAGGGGGCATCAGTCTCTTCTCCATGGCAACCAGCAGTAGGATAAGAGGGCATGGTCTTAAGTTCTGCCAGGGGAGGTTTAGGTTGGATATTAGGAAGAAATTCTTTACAGAGAGAGTAAGCGGACATTGGAATGGGCTGCTCAGGGAGATGGTGGATTCTCCGTCCCTGGAGGTTTTTAAGATGAGACTGGATGTGGCACTTAGTGCCATGGTCTAGTAACCACGGCTGTGTTGGGTCAAGGGTTGGACTTGATGATCTCGGAGGTCTTTTCCAACCCAGTTGATTCTATGATTCTAGATTCTTTCCTTAGGTATATGATGAATACTGCGTTTTCTCTGTTATCCCCTTCTCACTGCAAAGCACGACCAACAAACTGGCACCAAGCTATCTTATCCACTCATGATCTGCTCTTTCACCTGTCCTGCACTAGATACTGCAGAAACCTTGGTCAAGTGCTTCAAATAATATCTGGTTTTCACTAGAAGTCTCCAAGTATTTCCATGGTTTGCTGAATCATTGCATAATTCTGACATCGATAGCCTTCTCTGCAATGAATTGCCTCAATAGTTCCATACCTCTTGGACACCATGAAAAATTTCCTGAGGTACAACTGATCACTGCTGCCAATAAAACCTGTTTCGAACACAAGCTACTTGTCAAAAAGTCCTCTACTTCAGTTACTAAAAAAAAAAAAATCACAAATCTCTCATTTTAATCAGAACAAATCCAATCACTTTTTAATAACTGCCTGGAAAATTGCTTACTGAAGAAAGGAAATGAGCGTTTACTTAAAGGGAAAAAAAAAGAAAAAGATAAAAGAAGCAAAAGAGATTGAATGTTTGAGGTTTGAGCTGAACAAAAATAAAAAAAATCATTTGGTTTGTATTGATTTTTAGAATGAGATTACTAGAGAAAATATTGATCTCTCATCAGCCTGTCTGGTTCTCATTCATTGATTCTTCCCCTTACACCTCTGTTTGCACCTCAGAGTATTTTCACAGCTTAGATTCTCAGCTATTCCTTAAAATAGTAAGTAACATAGGTTTTGCTTTTAACAATTTTATATTTTTATCTATATATTTTTTTGCTTTATTTGATACAGAATTTGGCTTGGTAAAAAAATCCATGTTTTTATGGATCTAACATTCCATGAGTAGATGTATTGCTATAGTCTGCTTAAAGTCTACGAGCAAAATAGTAGTTTTTTAGTAGAGATAGAGAATCTTAATTAAAATATGGTATACTCATTGCCCTGAAAACAAAGTCATAAGTAAATCTGGTATTGAGTCTGCAATGAGTTCAGATTTTTTTGTTTTAGACTTCCACCTTGTGTTCTCACTATCACTCACTTCCCTACATATTCCAGTGCCTTCAGATGCCTGCATATTTTCCATCTGGCCAGCACCACCTCAAAGGTCCACCCTGCACATTATAATAGGTCTCTCCCTACCTGCTCATTCCTCTGTGTTCTTGGTTTCCTCCTGCAGCCCTGATGCCCTTTCACTGAATGTTGCCAGCTCTCTCTGTGCCTCCTCAGTTGTCCTGTCAGCAGGGCAGAAGTATCATGTGTATGGCTCTTCTGAGCCACAGGCATAGTAATGGTTAATCAGTGCTCATGTCTTTAGTGGGCATCATCTACTGACAAGCAAGGAGCTGGATTCTCCCCCTGCCTTTCCACTCACAGAGACACTAATTTCAACTTGTCCCTCTGTCACATAGCCACTGTTTTTGATTAAATCAGCAGAAACCTAATTATCTTTGAAAACTGGTAACTGAGATTCACTGTGGTTGGCCAAAAGGGTAAAAAGTTATTACTGATGCGTTTGGTAGCAAGGTGAGAAATGAATACAATCTGTGATTTGATAAACCTAGTTTTCTTTTGAGATTAGGCTTAACATAAAAAAAAGTCCTATTTTACCACAAAAGCTTACTGAACAGGCCTAAAAGCCTGATGATTAGTAGACTTCAGGTCCAGGAGGTTTCTTAGACATTTACTGCTTGAAAACTGTTATACTAGTGCTTACTATTAGAAAACAATCTCAGATACAAATAAGAAAGAAGGCCTATCAGAAAAGTCTCAGCTTTCCCAAACTAAAAAACAGTTAATAAAAAAGCTATTGCCGTTTTATCTGGGTTAATGTGGGTTTCCTGATTAACATCTGCCAAGGCCTCATGAAAAATAGCATATTAGATTGCAGAGAAGCAGTCATAGCACCCACGCTGGTAGTACAGGCAGCATATGGTAATCCAGCAGAGCAAGAGCAGAGCTTCTTAGCTTGCCCATAAGCCACTATTAATATAAGCACTTTTGACATTTGACACAGTCTGAAAACTGGAGGCAAACAAGACAAAAAGGTTATATTCAGGTCACCTGCCATCTAGAGCTTCAAGACCCAAACTCCCTATATAGTATGTGGGGAGAAAAAGTTGCAGCAACCAAGTTAAGTACCTACATCAGACAATTTTCCCTATTCCTGCAGTTTCATGTCTTCAAAATAGTTTGGTGTCTTGACCTTCGCCAAAAAACCTAAGAAAAGTTAATATAGAGGCAACCTAGCTCTGAACACAGTGTCTAGCTCCAAGTAAATTACCACATGTTCCGTACTTGCTAATCTTTATGGGAAGATAATCTTGTAATTGCACTCTAGAATCAATCCTATATGCTGAGGACCACAATTAATCAGAGTGCAGAGATTAGCTTAATAATATGCTGATAGCATAATAATCAAAATACTTTTAACTGACTAGTCCCAATGCTCAGATATGCTCTAAGGTAGCAGTAATCAAAAGCAATTTTTTTCTCCACAACATTCAACGTTTTTTTACAGAAGCAAAAAATTCCAAAATTATGTGAAAGAAATCAACACAATAGTACAAAGAAAACGGGGCTGTGGAACTGCTGTAAGGGAAATTGTTTAATAACATGACTAACTTCCCTCCTTCCTTCCTAAGGACCAGCAATTTTATTGACTCATTTCCCTCCTTCCTCTTTCTTCTCTACCTGAAGACCTAAAAGTTTCTTACTTTGGAATAACCATTATGCTTATATTCATTGTTTACATTTGGCTCCTCCCAGTCTTTTTATTTATTCAGATTGAAAAACAAGTTACAGTAAACAAAATGTTGCATCCCTTCAAAGAGACTGGGATCTTGAAAACAAATGTTACAGAAGAAATCAAAGCTGCATGTTGGAGATTTATTTGGATATTTTCACTTTGAAAGAGGTGAAAGATTAGCAGATGGGAAACTTCCCTGCTGATCTGAGCCCAGTGCCCAGCTTGATGTGATGTTAACTGATTAAGTGAAGGAGGCAGAAGCAGAGAGTTAAATGCCCTTAAGACAATTAGCAATGCAGCTCCTTCAATCTTCAATTAGATGCCATTCACACTCATAAGAATTAAGTCCTGTGTTTCTGCACCAGTTAGTAACAGAAGACAGTACAACTTCAGATTACTTGGAGACAGATGATGAAGGAAAGAAGCTAGGAAGAAAGGTAGGAACAGAAAAAGGGTATGAAGACAGGAAGAAGTTCATTTAAAAAAATCCTAAAAACATCAGCTTTTCAGCAGCACAGCAACTGTTACTCAAGTCTGTAATTTTTCCATGGTCATTTTAAATGTAACACTGTGTTTAGAGATCTGCATGTACATGTTCTATCAGCTTGGTAAACAAATGTCTATCAGCTGGTAATGGATCCCAACAGACTACTTTGCTGATGTGTTTATTTAGATAGATTCCTTAGCTTTTAGGTCTGAATCTTGTTAATCCTTAGTACAAAGTTATAAAGCATTATTTTTTCTTTATATTATTGATATCATAGTAGCACCAATTTTGTCTCGAGACCTTCTTGCACTTTAGAGACCACAGAGCACAAAAATCTATACTCCCCAGAAATCTAGATGAACTGAAGATTTTTATAAGTATTAAATCTAACATGCAGGATCTAAATGTCTGTGTATATAAAAGAATGTTTGTGAATAAGTTCATGAGCACAAACCCAAAACTACCATGCAACTCTGCTATACTATACAGTGTTAAACATAGGAACAGTAGGTCAAAATTTGTGAGAAATTGTATTCTAATTGTATTAATGACATTAATTTTCACTATTTTTTTAAAAATCTCGGATTCAATAATTCAAGAAACAGTCTATAAATTATCAAATTACCAACTTCATGATTATAAACAGAACAAAAAAAAAGCACTGCCATTTCAAAGAGCATTAAGACACTTTATATTTCAAATACTTCAGGTAAAAAACATCTTTCAATTTATAAAGTCAGACTTTAACACTTAAAAAAACAAATCATCTCTAAAATCATGATTTTACAGTTAAATGTGTGTAGGAAGTAATTGTGGATCCTATGTACCTCCTTGTTAAGCTGTTATCCATCTAATATTTTCTTTAGAAAGAGTCCACCAGTGATGTACTACTGTTATGCAGCAGGAACTTGTTTTTTCACAGGAAAGAATTAAACCTACAAATTTTGTAGCAGCATAAAGTGAACAGTTGCACTGTCCCTGAAGTATTGTATGTTAAATATGGAATTTTATAGTGAGGGCCAGTATGAACATGGCACACTGTATTCACAGTATGAATGTGATATTTTCTCACACAGTAGAAAAGCAGACTCTTGTGGGTTTTTTTTAATATCTATAAATAAACATGCAGAAAAAAAATCTGCCCATATATATTTGTGATCCTTACCCTCAGACTATCTGAACATCTAAATAGGATGGCTCCTTCAAAATGTAAAGCTTCTCATAAGAATTAAATAAAAATGCATGAACAATAATGGCATCTTTTTCTAAAACCTTCAAGAATTAAAAAATTAACAGTGATGAACTCAGTTTTTCAATTAAATCTGATGTACTGTACCTGTAAATGTTTTACAATATTCACAACTTCTCTAGTTGAATAGGGATAGTTAATAATGCCTTGGTCAGCTAAGCTCCTGAGCTCTCCAAAAGCAGCTACCAGTTTCTGAAGAATTGGCTCTGGAACATCAGGACCATATTGTCTTAGCATAGCCATTTCAGACTGTGGTTTGGGATTATCAACAGCATGGCAACTAAAAATGTCCCCTAAAAAGAAAAAAAGCACAAAGTTAAGTAATCTATAAAGAGATAGCATCATAACAGCACCTTTAAGTTTAATATTGCAGCTTTAATGAAAAAGCAATGACTCAAAAGAATGCTGAGCACTAGCTTTTTAAAACTAAACAAGGCAAAAACTACTCTGAAAAATGTGAAGAACATTGAGGTTTCTGGAAACAAGAAGATCTCTCCTGTCATTTCAATGAAGCCAATCATGAGGGAGAAATTAACTTCAAGAAGAAACACAAGCCAAATGAATTCAGAAAAAAAGAAAAACGTTTTAAAGAAAACATAACTTGTTGAATGGGACCAATTTGCAAACCCTTTCAAAACACCATAGGATGCAGGGAAATCTTGAAATGCAGGAAGGCCCTAATGCAAACCCAGTTAAGAAGTCTAGAGGAAACACTGGATTTCTCCCTTCTCCCTGCCTGTCTTGAAGTATAGTAAGACATTTGGCAAAATATTCTTTCCATATATTTGCATTATGTTGATCCCAAACATATAATCTATAAAATTGAGTTTATTCTTAGAGAGCCTTTTAACAGTCATACAAAACTTTGCAGAAATAAGATCAGATCTTGCTGAAAAAGGACTTGGATTAAAAGCATTAGAGACCCTAAGCTTGAAAAACAAAATCAGTGAAGAATTCCAAAATCTTAACCAAGTCCCTGCCATGCAGTTCAAAAGCAGTAACATTAGCATGATCTGTTTTGTTTAAAGGGTCCATGTAAGGAAGGAAATTAGGTCACGAAAAAGAAATATGCTACACTAAATCATATTGGGGCAAGATAGCTGGTTGAAATTCAGAGCCAATGAGTTTCAGACATGGAATCTCCATTCAGTGGGAACCACACCTGAAAAACAAAGAACTACTATTTAACATGGAATTTAGTTTGCACTTGCTTTTTTTAAGTTTGTACTTGCTTTTTTGAATATGTTTTAATTTCCTGCAGAATAAGCACTATGGCCAAAGTTAACCAGAAAAACCCCACAAATTAGGGTGCCTGCACATAAACGGCCAAAGTAACACAGATAATACAATCAGTGGAATCTGGAGGGGTGTTCATAGCTGTCACGTAACACTGCCAAAACGTTGCCAGAGGCCCACTTAGAGTCTCATCTTGGCCAGTCTTCGCGAACGAAGATTTGGGAAAGGTCATTACCCTTCGAGCCTGCGCAGTGGATTTTTTAGGTGAGACACAGTGTGTGCTGAACTGAGCCCACCCTTTAATCCTAAGGTTCATCTGCCGGGGCCGAGCGAGCTTGGACAGTGGCAGTGAGGTCCTCAGGACGTAGGTTTGTTTAGAGTGACCTTCTCTTAGATGGATGGCCTTACAGGGCTGACGAGCTCCATCTGCCCAGGGAAGTCCCCCGACTGGGAATCGAACCCGGGCCATGGCAGTGAGAGCGCCGCATCCTAACCACTAGACTACCAGGGGGCTCCCCCACTTAGAGTAACACTGGACTATACAGGCCAATGGTGCTTCATCCCTTGCCCTTATGCAATGTAAAAAAAAAATGGTGAACAGTTGAGAGGGATGCTTACAGCTCATTTTTTTGCTATATTTGTATACTATATACACTCATTAACAAAGATTTCCCATAACCTTGTCTATCTGCAATCTTCGTTCAGATCCCAAAAAACAAAGTAGTTTTAACAGAGATGACCACATATTCACTTCAGGGCAAGTTTGGGCCCTTTTATTAACACATGTAGATTTACATGATAAGTCTTCAAGCTGAATCTCACCTTGAGTACCTTATGAGTGCCTTATGTGAAACAAAGTATCAATATGCATAAGAACCCCTTCTCCTCGTGAAATCTAATTAATACACTTATTCTATTAAACAATTCTATTAAAGATCATAATTTAATGTGAATCACTTACCTAATGTGCCGAAAAAGTCATTACCCAAGAAAGGAAATCCAGGCCTATTTGCCAGAACTATCATTCTAAAATCAGGATGAATAACTATTACATTTTCTCTCCTCTCTACATGAGCATGATCTGGAAAAGAAATAAAACGTATTAATTGCATATTTAAGCTTTGCAATCCTGAATGAGCGAACATAATTAGATTAGAAGAAGAATTCTTAGAATCAGAAGAAAAAATCTTCTAATCTAATTCTGTTCTTCTCAGAACTAGAAGAACAGTTACAAAAAAAAGGCTCAATAGCCTTTTTTTTTTGCCATTCAACTATAAGTTTTCTAGGTTTCATTTTAAGGTTTCGTACTTTGTTACATGAAAATTTAACCAAAGTGTTTAATTCAAAAAACATAAAAATGCATCCACTGTTCTTGGGGTGGTGACTACCTGTCCTCTTTATATCTAATTTCACTGAAATGGTGAAGCCAGTGGTGAATAAAATGTGTTTTTATATAAGTCTGACATTATCTGATCTGGGAAGACAGGACTGAAATGCCTCCTGGTTACTACAAAAATCTGTGAGAACCCAGAGATACGTGATTTAACACATGTGAAGACCCCGGTTCTTCAAAATTACTCAGACTGACTCCATTGTTCCCTTACAGCATGTTTCCAGTGGCACACTGTGTTTGGGAATCCTTTAACTACCTCTAAAAAACTACAGTAATAATTGGGACTGATTAGCAAGACATTTTAAAAAAAGCCCACCTACAGTTTATGATGACAAGCAAAACTCAGGTGTGCCATGTGTGCTGAATGATTGCCACACTCAAACATTATTCCCAATGTTGTTAAAATGAAACTCATTACATAAAGTACAGTGTGTAGTAACATCAAGAGGGCATTTCAAACATGGTCTTTCTTTGGAAAATAATGAAAAATATTTAGTTCCTGCAATTCACATGAATTAAATTCCATCAAGTTACAAAATACTTTCATCCTGCAGAGTATATTTAAATAATGTAAGCATTTGCAATATTTGACTAGATTAACCCTTAATAATTCAACCTTAGGTATATCCATATCTTCATTCTAGATCTGATACTCCAACTGTCTAGATAGGCATAACCAAGATCATAATCTTGTCAACTAGATCTTTATTTCTTATGGTGAATGAGAAGCAGAGAGGTCAAATTACATTTTGTTGGGGTTTGGGTTTTTTGTTGGTGTTTTTTTATTTTATTTTATTTTTCAGCAAAATTCACAAGAATGCTAATTTAAGAAAACTTTGTGGCTATTCCAAAAGTAGTAAAGAAAATGACTGTAAATTCTTTCATTGTTAACCTTTTAGCATCAAGTAATGTATCCATTTGGATTGTTTTGGGTCTCTACTTAGCAGTGCAATTGCTGAAAACCAGCAACACATTGCATTCTATCGACAATGATCAAAACATTTTCTCTCTACTTACTGGCAACAATGCGCCTTCCATCTGACAAAACCATTTCCCCACTTTCTACTAAAGTTTTTAAGATACAGGTAACATTTGTTGGTGCTTTGTCTGCCTCATCGATCACCAAAATATGTCCAAACTTCACTGCTTTTACCTAGAAGAGAAAAGAATCATAACATCACAACCTCCCCCAAACACCTGCAAGTAGCTGCATTACTGATTTCTCAATCAGCAGCAGTGATGTTGCAGTGACACTGAGACAAGAAAGTGACTCAGAACAGGGATAAGCTATGACCAAATTGTAATAGAGGGAAGAGGAGGCAGATGGGACAAGAAAGGTGGGTGTTCCTGGTTCTTCTGGATAGGGATAGAAAGGGCTGTGCTAGGGAGGGATGTGAGAAGCCTGACTGAGAATGGAGTGCTGACAGGGAAGTGCAAAGCCAGCTTGCATCTAGATTGTCAACATGTAGCTGAATGAACTAAAGAATGGCTGCAACAGCTGTTTGGAGCCCAACTCAGCATGTAGGTGTGAGGTGCTATGAAACAGGAGGAAAATACCACTCTATCAGTTAGAATGTGTCAGGTTAATACTAAATTATTTTACATACTCATTTTGTGTGGGGGATTTCCCAAGCACATTAGGCATAGCAAGCGGGGCAAATATGTTTAAAGTAGAAGTTAATGCAAAGTTTGCTACCATGCTCACTCAATATGCCATGAAAAATCAAATCATGAATATTTTAAATTTCAAATGAAAAGCATTTCTAAATATAAAATCCAAATGTTACTACTGACCAGTGGTGAATCTTCATATACAATAAGACCATCTTTAACAGAAGGTTGTAGGGTAAGGCTTTGTACAGTGGTATCCCTGAAATGTGGAAAACCAGACAGTATTAATTAAAAATACACAAGAATTTTAGTTACAATAAAATGCAAAATGAGTAAATGAAAAACTGAGTACTCTCTAAGAGGAAAAAATATCTCTTTTTTCAGAATTCTTGAATAACTGGGAACACTGGTGTGCCAGCTTGGTGGTCAAATGCAAGTATCCCTGTCTCTGCCAGGACTTTCATGGTAGTTCTCCTTTCTCATAAACCCTCAAAACAAAACCACTGAGAAGTGAATAAGTATTTTTGTATGTAGGCACATTATTGATGTTACTATTTCTGGTTAAGTATGCTGAAATTGTCATGTACGTGACAAACAGGTGATTCTCCCTAGAAGAACCAAACACGAATCATTACTGTTTTAGCTGCTCTTCTCCACATAACATATCAAGGAAAAAAACACTCCCAAAACCCCAAAAAACCCAAATTCAACCAAACCAAAACCAACCCAACCCAACCCAACGATCAAAAGACACAAGCCCCCCCCAAATCCAACACAACCAAACAAAAAACCCCCTACAAACAACAACCACCACCACAACCATAACCCAAAAAATTCCCCCCAAAACAAAACAACAAAACTAAACACACTCACATGGAATTCTAAAAATCAATTTTTAGTTCTATCTAAGCCATACTGGCTTCCTATATTTTATATCATGCACAGCATAAGCTCTGAGATGGGACAGAGACTTTAATAACACAGCATTTCTGACATTTTGTGTTTGATTTGCTCACATTATTTTTACCTTCAAACAGTGCTAATTAAAATCTGTAACGATAATATTCTTAATCTTCACTATTTTCATCTATTCCAACCACCACTGAATGTACAGATAAATAGAAAACAGTTCCAACTCAGAAAGGTCAAGCAACAGACATCACCACACTGGATTCACCTATATAAATTATGTCCATAACCAAGGGAAAGCCCCTACTTATTAGACAAAATACTTGCCAAAACCTTTGTCGAGATCTGTATAACCAACCCCATTTACTTCAGGGTTCAGAGGGACCAAATGACCTAGAGAATAATCCAGAAGTGGGTCATGACAGAAGGTCCCCATGACTCCCATGGTTTCACAGGCAAGAGGATATGCAATTTAGTCTTAGGGCAAGTAGGCTATGCCAACCCTTTCCTCCTGTGTTTCAAAATTTGGCTTAGTCTGTGTCAACAGGATGATGGGCTGATCACATGACAAAACCCATCAGGAGAGTCTCACTTAACACAGCTTGAGATCCACATACTGGTCTGTAGGTAAGCTTAGTAACCTTTGCATTGTATGTGAGATTTGATGCAACAAAAATCTTTTACTTCTCACAGCCATGCTGTATAACAAAACTGTTTGCTTAAGCCTAGCTGACTCACTCTTCTAAATATCCACCTTAGTTCTATCTTTAATTTTGTAACACCTCGTAAAAAACTAACAATATTCTGATAAGCTTCTTGGGTACAGGAAATCAAACACAGTACTGTTTGCAGCACACTATTAAGTGGCCAGCTTCCAACTACAGTTTTAAACTGACAGAATAACTTGCACACTTCCTTTATTTGAAACTGCTGTCAGCAGGATTTCTGTCCCTAATAACTAATAATTTCTTGTTTAGCTTTAAACCCATGATTGATTTATTCCAGAGTTTCCATGCACAGGAATAAAGCAGAGGGCAGGAAGAGAGATTTTTAATGTTTAGCTACTTCATCTGAACTTTAATCCAGGAGGTGAAAGGTTACAAAGCTGGAACCACCTTCACTTCATTTAACCCTGTCAAATGCAGCCTGTCACAAGCAGCAACACTGCCCTAAATAGTTATATTAATATCTTATTCACTTGCAACATATAATTTTTTTAACCACTAAAATCAGCAGTAGTATAAATCTATTATCTTAGAAATTCTATTATGGACACAAAAATAAAGCTTCTATTGTCATCCTGCTAGTCTAACCAATTTCTGTGCTAGGCAAAGAAATCAATAGTGCATCCAAAAAAAACCAACAAACCGATGATTTTTCTTTATTGAACACACATTATTTATGGACTAAATTCTCAGACTATATGCATCAGCCTACCTCCACTATCAGTTAACATTTCTGGTTCAAGCCTATACAGTTGAAGATGCAGAAGAATTTTAAAATGTGTAAACCAAACTCTTGAGTATATGAAGCCACAGTCATAGGTTACTAATAAGCAATGGAAAAAATGTGGAATTAATACAAGGTAAAAAGGGGAAGGTTTTGTCAAACCTGAACTGTGATCTCTTTAAAGTAATAGAAAGGTGAGAAAATGGAGGATCTGAGGAAAGCATAGGCCAAGAATAATGTAAAAGAAGATGAAGCATTACAGGATGCTTTGGAGATCATAAATTTGTACTTAAGAGCCAATGCATGAAAAAAGGTAAAGTGAATAGAACACATCAGGAAATTAAGATCTCTAGTGGTGGTATGGATGGTCACAGGTGATGACGCAAGAAAATACAAAAATGTTAAATGGTATTTTACTGTAACACAAACCAGCTTATTTTACTTTTGGTAAGCTAGTTAATCCACTGGTTCTGCAGAGATTTCTTACAACCCCCTGATATGGAACACTAATTTTTACTTAGTACGACCAGCAGCCCACACAAATCCCCCAGATGATCTCATTCTTCAGAGAAGACAGAATTGACCATATCTTTGCAGAAAATAAACACTTCAAGAGTTTAAGTGCTATTATAAAAGTAGTGTAAATCAGAAAAAAATACAGAAAGTATCAAAATGAAATAAAAGTTGACATCTTAAATCTAGCTCCTAAATTTTTTTATCATTTTATCTGTTTTCTATTTTGTTGATATTCAGCTATAATATTTTAAGGAAATATTTCAGGGGATTTGTAATGTATTATAGAAGTTAAATATAAAGCCAAATATTAATTCCTTTGTCTTGATGACTCAAGCAAATGCAAAACTCCTCCACTTGCTTAGGCTATCACATTCAGAAATGTATATAAGAATGATTTTGCCAGGGTTATTACAGATTAATGTTACTGTCCTTTCAGAATCATAAGCTGTACAATTAGGTATCATTAATTTCAGTTCTTCAGAAACCTAACATAACCCAAACACAGTAAAGAATGGCTAAAAATAATTTGTCTCTTTAGTTTGTTTTTTTTTCTTAAATTTCCACTTCGTATCAAATTATGTAAAGACACTGAAATATAGAAAAATAAAAATATGCTAAATCTGAAATATTTTTGAACAACGCAACACGCAGAGTTTCTTAAATGTAAAATATGTCTGGCACTCAAAATTCTCACAGGAAAGGAACTAAAAGCTGTAATTCATGTTCTCTTAATAATATTAACACCTTAATATTAACTAGGCTCTAACAAAGACATGAATATCTAAACCTCCTAATTTCATCACAGTTAGCACCCTTGATGAAAATAGTTCTGACACAAAGAAGTAAGACTGTAGGAATATAGAAGCAATCAAGAAAAGCTGTCTCATATACTGTCATCTTACTTGACTGAACTGATTTTGTCTTTACATGATTGTAAAAGAAAAATACGAAACGCTCACTAATGCCTTTCCTAAGAACGTACTTTTACCAAGGAAGCCATCCTCACTCCAGTAAAAAACAAAAAAAAAAAAACCACCACCACCACAAAAAAAAATGTTTACTACTAAAACATTTAGTAGCAACTCCTCTGACAGTACCATTTGTACGAGGACTTCTGAGAATTCTTTTCATGTTTTTTTGTTTATTTGCTCACATCACTGTATTTTTTATTTTTTTTTTGCTACTGCTGCATTAGTTACCCTAGCTTTTTCTGAGTTCTGTAAACTTACTCGAACATACTACTGTGACAGCTATTGTTTCTTTGAGATCAATGCCTTCTTTCTGGGGAAGAACCATGAGATATGGCAGGAGAAATTTCCATCAACCTCAGAGACTTATTACCCAACTTCAAAAAAAGGTATTCCAATGCTTTAATTTAAGATTTGAGTCCCCAGGAAGACTTATGCCCAAATACAGGACACAGTGTCAGCTAACATCACAAACACCCACATTCACTGGAATTAATCCATCTTGACAAGTGCTGAACAATACAGTCGTGGTTTCTGTATCTACTCATGTTGAGGCTGAAAGGGTAAGAGATTATCTGTGGAAGGCAACCTTGTGTTTTATGGGTTAGTGCTGATAGTAACAAGCTTACATAAACCAAACTCAGGTTTTGGCCTTTATTTGCCAAATAAAACTTTCTGGGAGCAGAAAGGAAAAATCAGAGATGCAGAATATATACTCTAATAATTGTTGTTCTTCATTTCTGTGTGGTATCTGTTATCTAAATACGTACATATTATTATTTAAAAATGCACATAGATATATCTCTCTCAATTACATGTCACTCAGACATGAATATACCCATCTGCTGTGACCTAATTTTAAAGAGTATTTGAAAAATAATTAGGTCAAGGGCCATTTGAAGCTGTTAATTGGTTAGCTAATCCACTTGTGGATTATCCTGATGAAGAGTAGGCAATCTTAACACAAAGAATCAGTCTGCCTGATTCTGACATGTACAAATTAATTTCTTTAGCCAACCTACCATACAGCCATTGCATTTTTTGCATGATCGGACTGCTGTGTTTATGAAGTTCTGAAATGTCTGATTTCTATCTCATTTCTCTGTTAAAAACGACACTATAAAGCCTTTTTGACTTATCTGTATGCACTGATAATTAAATCCACCTTTTTTTCCTGCTAGGCTGTTATAGCTTCTCAGCAGGACATATGTTTGTTTAAAATTCAAGAAATTATTTGGAGTATAAAGGTACTCATTAATCAGCATGACTGCAGGTGGCAGAAGAAAGATCAAAGGGAATTATATGTTTAATTCATGTTATATGCTTAAATCTAAAGTTACACAATTACTGATACTTGGTCCATCTGTCCAAACAAGATGCAACATTTTCACTTAATTTATTACAATAACATAAGAAA